TTAAATATATACCTCCACTAAAGATAAGTTGCCCTAACAATTTGTTCTAACAAGAACTTTTCAACGGTGCGATAATATCACTAGAATCATTCACGTTAAATACCACACATATACCTTACAAAGTGAGAGTTAGAGAACAAGGTGACTATGAAAAACATTTTTGAAAAATATAAATCAAAAAATACATAAACATAAAAATATTAAACTTGGCCCGACCCGGAAATAGAACAGGCGACCTCTAGATATAGTATGTTTATACCTATTTATTGTAAATTACAATTGTTATAACATATATGGGTATGTCTTTTTACACACTATAAAAAAGGAATTAAACGTAAAATCATCTTAAACAGTTTTTTCGCTTCTAATATGAGCATTTGAGAAATTTTAATTTTTATTCACTCTAACCGGAAATCGAATCCACGAACACAAAGGCAATATTTTAAACAAAGACACATATGAACTAACCGATACAAACGTTCCCAATATACAAATACAAATAAATATTTAATTGATATAATATGTATGTATAACAAAAGCAACATAACATTCAACGAGAAAATTAGAATAATTTACTAAATTTTTCATTATATCGCTATAGCAGTGTTATTCATTTACATTTCGTACCGAAACGGATTTTCGTCGTACATTTTGTAAGCTAAGGATGCTTGTCTCTGCACAATCATCTCTACACAATACTTAGTTCAGGAGTATAAAATACTTCAGTCTAGTCTACTGCAATGCACATATACGACTTCTTTAGTAGTATGATAAGATTTCATTCATAGGCGACGCGATTTATTTCAAATTTTATATAACATATAGTTTATTCTTTCTTCACTTAGGTGTGTACCTACGAGTAGGTACCTATCTAAGTAACCTAGATAAGTCGTAGTACACAAAACAAAAAAAATAAACTTATTAGCTAGCGCTATGTAATTATATTCAGCCATTTTTAACGTCCCACTGCTGAGCACGGGCCTTCCTTATGCAGGGGTTCAGGCCATAGCCCACCACGCTGACCAAGTGCAAGTTGGCGGATTTCACATGTCTTTCGAAAACTTGCTGGGTTCTTTCAGACATACTAGTTTCCTCACGACGTTTTCCTTCACCGTGTTCGACAAGTGGTAATCATGTTGGAAATGGATCGTACATGAAAGTATAAGTTATATATGTGTAGTGTATCAACTACCTGGTATCCAAAACAGAGGCCTCGTAGCTTACCATTGAACTAGATGGCGCTGTGTGTTAATGTCCCCACATATTTATTTATAAATGTCGATAGATAGGTAAAATCTATTCATATAATATGTTTTTCTCTTTTAACAATAATAAATTAATTGTGGTCAATTTTCGACCATTAGGCATCTAGTTGTTAAATCAATACATTCCTATATAATTTTATGTATTTGTTAGTTTTCTAAAATCGTAAAGGTTTGTAAAATGATACTTTGTCTAAATCCTTTGGGTAAGTTAATTAGCAGGCGCGAGTTCGAATCCTATACAACTTAAAAATGAATACAGAATTTTAAAATTCATTTATAAATACTGTTTCAGCTTTTAGGCGTATTTAGTCCAATTAATATCGCTTACAATCTGGGAAATAATATATAATTCATTAATATATTCTAAGTAAATATCTCGTTTTTCATTAATATAAACTCTCCATACGCCACAAATGGCTCGTCTAGCGACGATAGAACGTTGTATTTATATAGCGATACCAAGTAGTAGGTATCTTTGATCTCCACAGATTCGCATTCGATCTGCGATCATCTAAACTAATAAAACTTCAAGTTTTATCATCATGAAGTTTTAATAGAATTTCTTTTTATTAACCAAGAAAAATGAAATGCAAATATTTATTGCTCTCTATTCTCTCTATTATTATATACCTACATATTAACATGGGCTAGGTCAGTGCTAAACAAACCAGAATGGAAGGAAATATATGAGACTTTTGTAAAATTTACGACACGTTTGGCTCAGTTTGTAGTACTACTTATAGTGTACCCTACTTGCTGTGCCAGCGGTCGGGGGTTCGAGTTCCGCTGGGAGCATTCATTTATGTGATGAACACGAATGTTTTTACTCCATTGATGTTTATATTTATAATATGTATGACAAGCCTTGTAGCTTACCATGGAACTAGATGGTGTTGTGTGTTAATGTCCCAACATATTAAATTATACCAACGGTTTGCCCAATTTTCAAGTTGTCGATGTCATCGACTCGCCAGAGTTGTTTTAATTTTTTTTTATTTTAATATGAGCATGTTGTGTCTGAATAAAGAATATTGTTATCTATAATACTCAAGATCATTTTAAAAAAGAGGTACTCAATACATTTAATGTGTGTATGTATACCTCTAAGAACGCAATAATTAACTCTAAAGTGATAATTTAAAAGAAAGCATACAACCATTTGTATAAAATTTTGTATTTAGATAAATTTTTGCTTTTTAAATTTATGCCATACTAGCATTTCCCACGGCTCCGTCCGCGTTCAGATGACAAAAACCAAATTCTTAGGTTTTACATAGTATACTCTTACTTTGCAGTTTTTGTATTTTTTCTCAGAAATGAGATATTTTTCTGCTGTAAAAAGTATAAATATGTTGTATAAATATGTTGTATAAATATGTTGACCCAGGTAACCAGCTATCACCATACAAAATTTCATCAAAATCCCTTCAGTGGTTTTTCTGTGATGCGGTAACAGACAGACAGACAAAAATTCTAAAAACTATAGTTTCGGCCTCTGTATCGATAACAATGTTTATTTCGATAAGATTTTAAAAAAAATATTTAATGTACAGATTCGGCTTAGTTACAATTTTATTATATGTATAGATGTGTCTTTTCTGAAACGCAATTTGTATATCCGAAAAACACGATTTTCCAAAAAAAAACGCCGAACAAAGCTTGGTTACCCAGATAGGTACTATTATTAAAATTATAAATAAATAACCAACTATACCAATACGAATTTGAGTCACGTAGAATAAACTTCGGGGTATTATAATCTCAGGTCGCACAGCTGCCTTGCATCTGCATATTCAGTATTGCATCTGCTTGACAAAGAGCTTTCTTACGGTAAATAGGATTTTGTATAGATAGTTTTACGCCGTGCACATTACAGAGAGAAAAGAGAGTTTAACAATGTATTTACTTTACACCTTTTCATACATATTATAAATATTTTTGTATGATAAATACACTTTATAATGATATACAGTTTAAAATTAATTTTAGGATTTATTTTGATAGATTTAAAATTGATAGAAGTTAAAATTACAGTAGGTTTTGTAATGTTGTTAGTTTATGATTTCTTTCAAAATTTATGAAGATTAATAAATTAATTAACTTAAGAAGGTTATAAAAGGTTTGCCCGTGAGATGAATTATTTTTTGATATAATTTTTGTAATTTATATATAAATTATATTTGTAATTGTTAAAAATTATATTTATATTAATTATAAATTATATTTGTAAAAGTTGTGTTACCACCTAAAATGATGCTGATGAGCAATCATGCTGTTGATGGATATCGAAGTTGTAAAATAAGTTGTGTGACTTTTGAATAGTAAATTTGTCTGGCCAGATCCATATCAGGAATCTGAGAAAATTTAGGGTTACGCGCCGAAATGTACGTGAGAGGGTAAGCTAGTTCTAGGGTAAGCTGACTCCTTCACGCTGAATCGGCTGGACGACTTACATGAAACTTAGTCCACAGATAAATATTTTTTTTGCACTCTGAAATGTATTTATATATGTCACACACACGCATATCATATATGGTTATGTGGAGATTAACCAGCTAAAAAACCAGTGCTCTCCACTAAAATCCAACGATGCCCCGACGCTCAGCCTCTCGAGACAGAAGAAAATTAATTATAATAGGAAAATCAAAATAACTACTAATAGATTTTGACGACACGTTTGGCTCAGTTTGTTGTGACCCTTCTTGCAGTGCCAGCGGTCGCGGGTTCGAGTCCCGCTGGGGGGATTCATTTGATAAGCACGAATGTTTGTACTTTAATCATGGGTGTTTATATTTATAATATGTATGTATTTAAAGTTATATGTGTGTAGTGTATCTGGTATCCATAACACAAGTATCGTAGCTTACCATGGAACTAGATTGTGCTGTGTGTTAATAGTCTCAACATATTTATTTATAGAAAATTTTCAATAAAATATTTTAAAAGAACAACTTATTTAATGTAGGTATAAAAAAATCAAGTATCTTAAAGTTATCTTTATATCATAAATGAGGATACTTTATATTAATGTACATAAGTTATATCATTATATTATCACATCATAATTATTTATAACTCGATTAAATTATATTTTACAGATATTGACATAGTTTTAACCCAAAAGTTAGGATAGTGGCAGATATTAAACTATAATTAAAGGAACCTAACCTTTAACAAATCTCAAGCAAAATCGACACAAATTAGCGACTTTTTGTACATAATTAACTTATTATAATATATATTATATATATATATATATATATATATATATATATATACATATAGATATATATACATATATATATATATAGATATAGATATATATATATACATATATATATAAAATATACAAGATTTAATTTATAACATAATTATTTTTCAAGTAATATTCTCTTCAAATTACTAAAAAACAAAAAGTTAAATACTTTATATCCTAAATTTTATATCTTAAATTATTTTACATCTTAATTTTCTAAAATCTTAAAAATATATATTTCCGTGGATTTATTTTGATTTTTGATCAAGGTCACGAAATATTGCTGTAAAGCATTCGAAACGTCGGGAACCAAAAATCTAAATAAATCAGCTCGTAGCTCTAAGAAAGTATTACTTCTAAAACCTAAAAAAATGCCATAACTCACAAACAGTAAGTCGTAATGTAACTAATATCACCACTAATAACATAAGTAACAATACTTTTCATACATTATATAGATTACTTTTCATAATACTTTATCCCATTTCTAAACCACATTCATTAGAAGTAAACGATTGATTTTGTTTTATACAAAAATTATTATACTTACAAAAATATTTATTCAATAAAGATACAAAACTTAATAAGACTATAACCACTAGGCATGCTGTTATAACATATAATATCACTTTAACATCTACAGCTTCCTTAACTTGCTCAGGTCTGTACGTCTGCGGATTAAAATCAAGCTTCTCATTTACAACATTAATTTTCGCGTTTAACAATTTATTTTGTTCTTCTAAATATTTATTAGTTAGCGTGCTGTAATCATTTATACCCGACTTTAATATAACAGTTAGTGATTTTAAAGTTTCTGTAATATTACCACTTCCATGACTATTAGAATTATTTAGTATTTTTTTATAAGCATCTAAGAAAGATTTTAAAAAGGTATCTAATGGGACCCTAGATTTATTTAAAAAATCATTTAATATAACTGTATGATTAGCTAATTCCATTTTTATTTCATTCATTGTTGCAGACATAAATTTTGAAGTATTAAAATAATCATGGAGTTCTTTTAAAACATTTTTAAACTCAGTGTTATTACTAGTGTCTTTTTGAATTTCGTCTCTGAAGTTTTCAGTTTTGCAAGTTATACCTTGAATATTCTCTGAATTATATTCAAAATTTTCCGCAGTAATTTTAATCGAATTGCTTTCGGAATGCTCATTTTTTAAGCTTATCAAAGTAGTACAAGGCAGAAGATTACCACCTACACTCAGTAACTCGACACTAGATTGTGAAAACTTTTTAAAGTCTACATTTGTTATAATGTTATTATCAAGATATAAATGGGAAAGATGTGGTGTGCTATGTAGAAGATTAACATCGAAGACGCGTATTGCATTATTGGATAAATTTAACACACGAAGGTTTTCCAGTCCATCAAGTACTCCAAATTGTAATGATAATAAGTTATTGCTTTGTAAATTTAATGTATTAATCATTCCGGTTGAAAGAAATGTACCAGGTTGAATAAAAGAAATTCTATTAGAGCTTAAATCTAACGAGTTAAGCAAGGGCATACTGCGGAAAGAACTCTTATCTAACATTGTTATTTTGTTATAACTTATATCTACTTCAAGAAGGTTTTGTATTTTAAAAACAGATATTTCATTTATGTCACTAATATTGCAATAACTTATGTCCAACGCTGTAATAGAAGTATTCAAGACATCTCTAAAATTCAAATTTCCTCTTATATTCCTAAAAGAAGCTTTTGACAAGAATAAGTTATTTAATACATGACCTTTTACTTCTAAAGCATTGTTATTATGTATATTTAAATATTTCAATTTAGATAAACTTTGAAATGCGTCTGAATTTAAATCCATGATATTATTATAAGCTAAGTGTAGTGTTTCCAATGCGTATAGATTTTGGAACGTAGCATTTGTAATATGTACCAGTTTATTGTTGTTTAGATTTAATTTGGTAAGATATGTGAGATGTGATGTATTAACACATAATTGTTCTAAAACATTGAACGAAAGGTCGATAATTTCTATTTTTCCGGAACCTTTGAAAGATTCATACTCAATTATATCAATATCACTATGAGAAGAGTTTAAAACTGTGGAACTGGTGCCATAAAATGACTCATTTTTAAAATTCATTATTCCCGTGTGAGATATGTCTAGTAAATTTAAATTATGCAATCCAGTCAATATGTTCCCTTTTAATGAACTAACTAAATGATTACTGTGTAAAATTAGGTTCTCCAAGCTATTTAATTCCGAAAATGAATTTATTTCTATATCTGATATTGAATTTTGAGATAAATCTAAAGTTTTTAATGAAAATAAATGTGTGAACATAGTTTTGTCCATTTTTTTAATTTTATTCTTTTGAAGATAATATTCTGTTAAAGCTTTAAGATCGAACGTATCAAATTCTATATCAGTCAACTTGTTATAAGACAAGTCTAACTTTAAAAGGAGTTCTAGTGAATGAAATGACGTTTTATCAATAGTTTCAATACTATTACTACTCAAATTTAATATGAGTAAGCTATTACCAACGGAGCTAAAAGCTTTTTCACCTATTTTACTTAATTCACCGCCACTCAAATCTAAATTATCGACAAAAATTCCTTTGAACGTTTCACTTTCAATTGATCCATTAAGATTATTGTTCTTAATTTCAAAACTTGAAATATTTTTATGATCAAATGAACCTGCTTCTATATTTTCTATATTATTATTAGCTAATAATAATTTCGATAAATTTTCATTTTTTTCAAATAATTCCTTATGAATGTACGTTATTTCATTATAACTCAGATTTAATTCTCTCAGATTTCTAAGTGCTATGAATGCTCTATCTTCAATATTTTTTATACGATTTGAACTAAGATCTAAACATTCTAAATCATTTAATTTTCTCAATTCTTGTTCTGTTAGTGTTGTTAAGAAGTTGTTATTTAAGGTAAAGTGTTTTAAATTTATAAATCTAGCGAAGTTTTGTCCAATTTCTGTTAATTTATTATTTGAAAGGAAGAAAGTCTCTAAATTTGTCATTCCTTCAAATGTTAGTATGTCAAAACCCAAAAGCTTATTGTGAGATAAGTCTAGATATTTGAGACGACTAAATCTTACGAAACAATTATCCGGAACATATTCCAATGAGTTATGACTTAAATCTATTGAAACTATTGAGCTCATACTTGTTGATGTTTCTATTCCAAAAGAGTCTATTTCAATAAGCGATATCGAATTATATGAAACATTCAATATTTCTAATGTAAATATATTTGATAATTTAATTAAATTAATGCTTTCTAGGTTGTTATGGACTACATTTAATTCGTTCAACTTTCCAAAATTATAGATTTGTATTGGCATTGAAACAAGATTACCATTACTTACAGTTAATTTTACAATATTATTCGAGCTATCATCTGTTCCGAATAAGGGATCTTCTGATACATTTATATCTACATCTTTGACATTTAAAATAAACTTGTAGTTAGTCAAATACTGATATCTGTCATTACGATAATAGTAATTATAATTTGGTCGCAATCGTCTTATACAAGTCCATTCATTTCTCATTTCGTTTAAATTTTCTGTAGTTGTTGTACATTCCACTTGCGCACTGCACACGTCTTCTGTAAGTAAATCTTTCATAATACAGAAGCCTTCTGTACTTAATATACTTTGGCATAGAAAAAAAAATAACAGGAACATTTTTCTGAAAAAAAAGTAAACAGTATAACTATCAATATGGTTAAATATCAATATGGTTAGCTATCAATATGGCTCGGTTTGCCAAGCGAGTGCATTAAGACTAAGCATGATTCTTAAACAATAGTTGTTGAAATTTTGTCTGTGTGTTTGTTTGTATGTTTGTATATTTTTCAGGCAATGGATTTTAACTAAATTGTGTTTAGTGATAGTTACTTATTGGATGCGTCAACATTTAGAATACCTTTTATTTTAGGAAATTTCTCATTCTCAGGAATAGCTCAATAAATTGTTTGGCCAACTTATCCTGCATAAAAAAAATTGTGATTCATTACAAAAAAGTACAGGTGTAACAATCAACCTATGTAACAATATAGTTGGGTAAAATACCTCATTTTCATGGGAAAATGCTAAATTTAATTTGAACTCAATTCATTCAACTCATTACTCTATATATGTACATCATAGTACATACATATATAATAAAAATGAAGTCACTGTCTGCCTCTGTATGTGTCCCTGATTACTTCTTCTAAACCAACCAACGGATTTTAATATTGTTTTGTCTATTAGAAAATGCTACAAGCAAGGAAGATTCGTGTATATATATTCAAAATATTTTGTACAAAATGGATGAACTGTGACGATGCTTTGTCAAAAAACTATTTTCAAACGCATACATGGCTAACACTAGTTCTACCTTAAGAGATACATCAAAACAGTATGCTAAAAAATTGTAGGTCTTTAAAAGGTCCACAGAAAAGTCTATGATACCTTGTTTGTATCTCCTAAGGTACACTCACGACAACAACTTTTATCTATTTAAAATATATCTAGGAACGCATTCGAGCGAAGCGAGGCTTAGGCCCTGGTCTACCTTTGAATCTGGGAAACGGCTTCAACGATTTTGTTTTAATCGGTGTTTCGGGGGGATAAATCGATCTAGATTAGTTATATGTCTGGGAAAATTCGTGTTTTCGAGTTTTCATGCGGTTTTGTTTCGCATTATTTTACGCATAATATGATCGCTAATTCGCACGCTAGGACATAAGTATCGCGGTCAAATGGCCAAGGCGCAAGTTTGACAACCACAGGCGTCTGGGTTCGTATCCCGGTCGGATACAAAGATTTTACTTTGGTTTTTTTTGTATTTATTTAAATTTTTATTTTGTTTTTTTTTTCAAGGTACTATATATATAAAACAAAGTCGAGTTTGTTACAACTCTTATAACTCGAGAACTACTGGACCGATTTTTATGATCTTTGTTTTGTTGGATTTGTCTTCACCCCAAATAACTATTAAAATATCGGACGTGTCGACACGACCGGTGTGATTAAGGCGCAGGCTTTACGTGCTCTCCGAGGCACGGAGGTGAAACACCGCCAACTTCCCAACTCCGAGCTGTTACTGAGGCCTACTTTACGGAAAGACTCAATGACTTAACTTGGCCCAAACTAGGACTCGAAACCAGGACCTCCGGTTGTGAAGCCATACATGCTAGCAACTACACCACTGCACCGAGGCAGTTTTGAGGTAAGAGTGAAATTATCGTTTAAAGGTTAAAAAATATAAAACGGCTTGCTTCCAATCGGAATAAAATTTCTTTTAACTTCTAGTTCTTTTTTTAACCATAAAAGCTTATTTTTAAAAAAAACCTACCAGCCGATACAGAGCAAAGCACACCAACTTCGAAAATATTTGATTAGGTATGTATAGTAAATGAAAACTACCAATCAGTTATTTTTTACTTTTTAGTGGTTTTTTTGAAGTTGGTTTTAATTTTTTTGTTAAAAAGTTTTTATTTTTCCCTTTTTAGTGTAGACATAGTAGTAACAAAGTAAGAAGAAGAAATTTTAATAAAATATTCGTTTCAACCGTTTAAGTTACTTTGATGCCAATTTTTATAGGATGACTTACAAACTAAAATTCGCTTTTATTAGTAATATTCAAAATTCTGGCTCTAAATTCCGATTCTAACTTGTTAAGCTTGTCAAATCAAACAAAATAAGCGCAAACTCAAAGTATCTACTATTAGCCGTTGAAGAGTTCCGCCTATCCACCTTCTGGCCTTACCATCAGATCAGGTCAACGATATTGAACCACTGCACTATCAACGGAAATAGAAACACTTGCAAAATTTCAAGTCAATATGACAATAATTAGAAGTAGGTTAAATTCATCATTAACTATTTTTCCACCCTTAGGGGCGGTATTTTTTTTTTTAAATTAGATGGGACCAATGTGGAAGTATATAATTTCAAACAAAACAAAAATTGTCCAAATCGGTTAATAAATGACGGAGTTCTGAGGTAACAAACATAAAAAATACATGCAGCTGAATTGAGAACCTCCTCCTTTTTGAGGAAGTTGGTTGAAAATCAATTCATTCAAAAAATATAATAGACTTGTTTTCTGAAGAATAAAAAAATTAAACCTAAAAATATAACACTTACCTAAAATGAACGCACAATTTAAATATAAAACAATATTATTCTGTAGACTTGTTGGAATAGCCGTGGTCAAAAACACACTGTTAATGAATACGAGCCATAATAGTGCCTTACCAGTATCTTTATCAGCGCAATGACTGTATGCTAAATTGTAGTCATTGAGATGGTAAGCAATATCAAACCAAATACCAGAAAATGCCCGCGACTCTGTTACATCGAGTTAGTATTTTTTTTGCAATAGCTAGTCTATACAGATAAATAAAATTGAAGAGACCGATTTTGACGGGTCTTTCACGGACAGATAGCTGTTGTTATAAAGACCAACTTAGGCTACTTTTAATTTAGAAAAAGAAATAGGGTTTCCCAAAACAAATTAAAACCTACTTAGAGACGAACCCGGGCGAAGCGAGGGTGAGTCGCTAGTGTTTATAAATAATATTTTGGTTAATTATTACGTGATTCAATAATGTACATGAGTTTGAAGCCTCAATAAATGAAGTTTCACTTGAAGATTTTATTTTTGGGGGCATACAAAATAATGAAAACCAACATTTATCAAGTGCATTATAATATGGCATTACATCGCTATCACATCGAAACTGTTCGCCACGAACATTTGTATTTTTTTGACAGCCCTTTAATGTGACAGCATTTCTGTCAAAATCAAAAGCGATCCTACTGTATGGATTTTTATCTGTGGTAGTGTGGTGTCAAAGTTTGAACAATATTTCAAATAAAATTTATATTATTTTAAATTAAATTACATAATTTATTAATTATTTTATTCTAAAATCAATATAATTTTTGCTTTACTAAAAATAATGCTGACAACACAATACTTAAAGTGAGATAAGCTTTCATTATGGTCACACCAAAACGGGTATTCCCCCATTTGTTCTTGTCACCGGAATTGTGTGCTATATCAGCAATTGTATCTGTTCCACCTACTTAAATTACGTGCCATGCTGATACGCTATTTATATATTGTATGGTAATCAAAATTTATAACAAAATTACTACTATCACTATTTATACTTTTTAAACATTTAACATTGAACAACAAAACGCGGCTTCATTGGCCTTCTATTATCCTTAAATGTGAAATTTTGTAAGTTTTTCTTTTATTTGATTCCTTCACGCTGACTCACACGTTTCGCTCGGGTACCTAGCATTATAATAATAAATAATTTAATGCTAAATTCCAAGAAAATTTCCCAGGTCTATCTTTGCACAAAATTTCATCTCAGCCTTTCCAGCCAATTTAGTATGTAAAAGTAACAAACATACAGAGATTATCTTAACAGAAAAACTCAATAATTAAACTTAGCCCGACCCAGGACTCGAACTCAGTGCCTTCGAATCTGAAGCCATATATGCTAGCAACTAGACTATGAGGCTACTAGCATTGTGTTAGGTAAACCAGACTGTTCACACACTACATATACATATAAATTTAAATACACACATTATACATTTAAATACCCATGACTAGAGTACAAACATTCGTGCTCATCACACAAGTGAATGCCCCCAGCGGGACTCGAACCCGCGACCACTTACCTATAACATTAATTATAATAAATCAATGAATATTTATTCTGTGATGGAATATTACGTACTCTTAACTAAATAGTTTTAAAAATAGTAACTGTATAAAATTTAGTAATCCATGTTAATATTATAAATGTCAAAGTAACTTTGTCTGTTACGTTTTCACACTAAAACCGCTGACCCAATTTTGATAAATTTTGCTACAGAGATAGACGGGACCTTGGAGAAGAACATACAAAAGCTACTTTTTGTCGCAAAAATAATACTTGAAGGGGGTGAAATGGCAGAATGAAAGTTTTATACTACTGGAGACATAAAGATGAGATATATATTCTGGTATAATTTATAGAAAATAAACAGTCATCTATTCTATTATTATAAAGAGGAAAGATTTGTATTTTTGTATGTTTGCAACAAATAAACTCAAAAATTACTGGACCGATTTAGTGAAATTTGGTGAGAAGATAGTTTGAGACTCTGGGAACGGCATAGTATATTTTCAATCTCGGAAATCATCCCTTAAGGGGGTGAAAATGGGGGTGAATGTTTGTATGGGAAAGCAACCTAGGGACGAACCCGAGCGAAGCGACGGTGAGTCGCTAGTATTTTATAATGAAGATCAAAGCAAGCTAGTGTGAGAGTATTATAGATGCAAGACACATATGTAGGAGTAAGCCACTGGTAATACATATTTCTTAACTAAATAAAGTACACCTTTACAAGACTTTAAAACAATCTTAAAGTACTACTTCACCTTTAAGGTCGAATTTTCCCTAATATTTGAGGTATAGTTAGTCTATTTATAGAATAGATTATTGATACCTATAAGTATTTTAAACAAATATCATAATATGAAAATCGATTCATAGTAATTGTCATTGTTGAGAAGTTATCACATTACGTTCACAAAAAAAATATCAGAAGATACCTCTCGTTTTAAAGTTTTATTTATTTATTAAAAACATTAAAGCATACATCAAATAACTTAAAACGATTAGAACTGCATTATTACAAAATAGTGTCCGGTTATAAAACAATCATACTACACAAGCAGAAAAGAAAAATACTTATCTAATTATATTACTTAATTATTATTTGATATCAGTCGTGTACATGTTTGTTAGTATGTATGAATGTTTGTTACTCTTTCACGCCAGAACGGCTGAACGGATCTGGATGAAATATGCCACAGAGATAGATTATAGCCTGGAATAATATATAGGCTACTTTTTATCCCGAGGGTGAACCGATACTTATTTATACATCACTAGCAGAGCCCTCGGTTTCAGTCGATCTAAAACTACAAAAAAAAACTCTAAGAAGGTAGGTTTCGTACAAACTTATATTCCCTATTTTACCCTCTTATGGGATAAATCTCGAGAAATTCTAAAACGTATTTATTTGATTGTACAGCATTAATACCAAGTTTCAAGTAATACTGATCATAAATATTTTTTGGGTTGTATTATAACGTGTTTCCCGTGTGAATGAAATAATCTTACGCAGTAAAAAGTAGTCTATGTCATTCTCCAGCCCACCAAATATCTCCACACAAAAAATTATGCCTATCCGTCGCTCTGTTTCGACGTGAAAGAAAGACAAACAAACAACAAAACAAACAAACACATTTTTACATTTAATATTAATTAGCATTAGTAATTAGTATTGATATGGATGTATTTTCTTAATAATCTATGAGTAATTGTGTATAGATAAAACGTAATGGAATTCTGGTTGCTCGTTTTAGTGTGATAATTGAATAAGTAAATATTTTTCTTAAACGGCTTAAACTTCTCGAAATCAGCTTAAGCAATCACTTTTTTTACTAATTCAATGTGCAGGAACTGAATTCATGAACTCCAGCTACGTCGTGCTAACTCGGCTAAATCATTTGCGATAATAAGCAGATGTTTCTGTTTGATTAATATAATAATGACTCAACCTTTAAAAAAAATTAACACTTACAGACGTTCTTGAATATCTACCCAAATAATGCTCCACTGAAATTAATTATACAATCTCCTTAACTGTAGCCACGAAGTTTAAACTCAATCTAAGGTGGAAGCAAAATAAAACTACAGATAAAACACGATATATTTATTACATTACATCAAAGATTAATCATATAGCATTTACATATGTGAGGTTTCCATAGCATCAGAAATATGCCTAGTACTAATGGACCTCCTGCGAAGGATATACAATTTGGATTTATAAATTTTTTGTACGATTAAACATACCAAAATAAACAATATTAAAGCAACACACGTTTCTACAAAAAGAGTTGATTTTGATTCTTCACTGGATAATAACAATTTTTCAGTATTTAAATGAGGAACGATCGTTGTTGCTGAATCAATACGTTTGCTAAGTATCGACAACTTACTATCTACTTCAGCACGAATTTCCTCTTTGCCTATCGTCATCTGATCAAACATATCTTGCCTCAGCTTACTTATATAATTTAAAACCCTATCAGATGTTACATTATCCTTTATTGGTATTGGTATAGACCTATTAAGAGAATTAATGGATACTATTGTTTTTAAAATTCGTTCCAGTAATGAATTTGTAGTTTTACTTTCGTCATATGCTTTTGACATGAAATTGTTTAGATTTGTTACTTCTTTCATAGTATCTTCATGTAAACTCTCTAGTCGCGTAAAATTTGGAGTTTTACTTTTTTCAACATTTTCACCAAGTTGTTTAGAATTTATATCAGAAAGAATATCACGAATATCAAATAATAAATTATCATTAAAGTTTTCTGTATGAGGCACACTACTAACCTTTGACTGATAATCCATTATATTACATGTAATACCATAGGAATTATGTTCCATTGTATCTACGTATCTAGCAGCAGTTATAGAAAGTTTTGGATCTTTATATTTTACAAGATTAGAGAGCATTTTACAGGGGATCGGATTATCACCAATACTCAATACTGATAAATTCGTTCCACTTAGAACTTCTAAAGATATATTATTTATTTTGTTGTGATCTATAATAAGTTCTGTTAAGCTTTCTGCTTCGTAAAATCTTTCAGCTTCTATGGTCCTTATGAAATTAAAGGATACATCCAGAATGTTTAAATGGGCTAAGCCACGCAATATACCATAACCGATTTCCGTGAGTGCATTATGTGAAATATTCAATTTCTTTAACAAAAAGTTATCTTTAAATACTCCCGGCTGTATGACACTTATTTTGTTGAAACTTATATCAATTTCATTAACATTACATAAATTTGAAAACGATCCAACTTCCAATTGCGATAAATTGTTGTGACTGAGCTGAATAAAAACGATTTTTCTTAATTTGTTAAGGTTAAGATTATTTAAGTTACTTATATTAGAATACGCAATTTCTAATTTAGTTACCGGAATATATCCAAAGTCATTAAAAGTTATATTTGACAAAGTATTTGATAATATCAAAGTATCCAATTTTTTGACTTCCCTAAAAAGTGAAGATTTAATATACAAATTTAAATTAAATGATAAATCAATATAATTTAAATCACTTTGATCATTAAAAGTATCGTCGCTAATAAACGTTATACTATTATAAGATAAGCATATTTTGTTTAAATAATTCATACCTGCTAAAAAGTCACTAGGCAAACTTTTTATAAGATTGTTATTGAGCATTAACTGATTAAGCTTACGTAGATGTGTAGTGTTAACATAAAAATATTTTATTTCATTATGCGACAAGTCTAATATTTCTATATTTCCAGTGTTTAAAAATGCATTATACTGAACTTGACTTATGTTACTATGAGATATATTAAGTTCATTCAATTGTAGCATACCGTTAAGCGAGCTATTCTGTACAACACTCAAATATGTACTAGACAAGTCCAACATTGGGACTTGATGTAACCCTCCAAAAGTATTTGATTCCAATTCACCAGTCAAAGGATTTTTAGATATTTGGAAATTATTAATATTACTTAATGCTTGAAAAGATTTAGATTCAATTCTTGATATATTATTTCGAGATAAATCAAGTAATTCCAATCTGTAAAGGCTGTGTAATTGATTTACTTTGATTTGCATGATATTATTACCTCTCAGTAATAAAGACTCAAGGCTTTCTAAGTCTTCTTTTTCAAAATCTATATCAGTTATTCGATTATAAGATAAATCAAGCAGTTTTAACTTTTTAAGTGTCTTAAATGACTTATTTGAAACAGTTTCTATAAGATTATTATTTAATAAAAGCCCTGTAAGCTTTTCAAGACCAAAAAATGCATAATCTTCAATAAAAGTGAACTCTTGGTTACTTACGTCTAGAATACCACACAACTTTAATCCTTCAAACATACCTCTTTTTAAAATTCCTCCTAAATAATTATGTTCTATTGAAAATGCTAATATATTTTTGCCTTTGAAAAGATCAGTTGGTAATTCAATTAATTTATTATTTGATAAATATACACTTTCTAAATACAAATTGTCTATGAAGATACTTTTGCTAATATTTGTCAATAAATTGTGACTCAAATTAATTTGTTTTAAAAGTGGTACAGCTTTAAAAATATTTTCCTCCATATAAACGATAGAATTATGACTTAAATCTAGTATTTTAAGTTTTTGCACTGTTTCAAAGTCACGAACTAAAACTGTTTTAATGTTATTGTTATTCAAATATAGCTCTTGAAGTTCATGGAATCGAAATAGCGACCAATTGATATCATTTAAACTATTGTAAGAAAGTCGCAAAACTGACAATTTTGTTAAACCTTCAAAAGTAAACAAACTAATATTAGCAATGTGGTTGTAGGATAAATCTAAGTGTTTAAGATCTGAGAAACTCTTGAATGTAGCCTTCGAAATGTCATGCAAATTATTATACGAGAGGGATATATTAACTAATTTCCTAAATACGTAATAGTTGTCATTTACTTCTATGTTAGTTATTAGGTTATGGGAAAAATCAATTTCTTCAAGGGAATCCAAATTATAATCATTAAATAGATTTGCAACAAATAATTTGTTATTTGATGCATTTAAAAATTTTAAAAATGGTAGTTCATAATTAATTGAAGGTAATATGTCATAATCATTTCCACTAAGATCAATAGAAATTATGTTCTTATATAAATCATAGCCATCTTGAAATAAAATATCCATAGATTTAATTTTATATTTTAGAGATATAGGTAAAATATGATTACGGTAGACTCTATCTGGAACACATTCTCCATGATTTTCTAATAAACTGCTTTCAAAGCTCTCGAAAGGAAATGTACAGTATATATCAACTATGCACTTGTGCTCAATAAATGTATAATTACATCCATCCAAAACTCCAAACAATATCCCGAGGAGATAAAGTATAGACAGGTAATCTGAAAAGATTATAATAATCGTTACACATGAATAATAATATTTATTATTTATAAATATGTTTTTGCCAAAATGTATTCAGCCCTTTTTAACATCCCACTGCTGGGCACGGGCTTCCCTTCAATACGAAGGGGATCAGGCTATAGTCCACCACGTTAGCCAAGTGCGGGTTGGCAGACTTCACATGTATTTCGAAAACTTGCTAGGTTCTCTCAGACATGCAGGTTTCCTCACAATATTTTCCTTCACCATAAGACAAGTGAATGTTGGAAATGATTGCACATAAAAATATCTGACGTGCGGAACCGAACCCGGGGTTTGAACCCTCATCACTCGGTTTTCTACTGGGCGTTTTGAGCGCGCTACTGGGATATCACTGCTTCGACAAAATATCTGTGTACATTTATTTATGTTGTAGGTAAAAATTACAACTAGCAACTGATGTTGAACAGCTTTATAGCAATGATTGTAAGAATCTCTATGTGCCTTGGCACAATTTGAATTTTTAGGAATATTCTTTTTAAGTATGATTATGTTCGGGAAAATATCTTACCTTCATAAAAATAGTAAAAAATGTATATTTTACAGACAGATCGCAAGAAAAATGTGACATATTATCGCGCGTATTTATATATTTTTTAATTAATTTTTTACAGTTGCCATGAGTATGATGAGTAATTGCCGTGTATCCTTGGGGAAGAATAAGTGAAAATATTTTACTTATATGGCAACTGATTTGGTTGATTTTTATATAAATTGGCTTCCAGTTACTACAAACTAAATAACTAGAAATTACTTAGTTAAAACTTTTTTAGAATTACGCGAATATTTGACCTTTTGAAATAATACTATCCTTTTTTTAAGAATTTATTTTGATTTTCACGTTTCGAATGCTTTAAATCGATCATGGATTTCTAAAAAGTTATTATATAGTTAACAAGTAATAAATAGCGAAAAAAATCGAAACGGTTTTATTTCAAAATCGGTAGTTCCCGAGTCAAAATGTACTTTTTTAAATTAAAGTAAATATTTCTAAGCAACTTTTTTTTGACTCAAATTATTTGACTGTGAAGTCATACCCTTCTTCTCCAGCTTTTCAACAATAGAGTACATAAATCCGAGGAAAAATAAAGTATATGTTAAGTAATTTTTGAGATATGGAATTAAATTTGTTTATCTTTAAAACGTAATATGAGACATAAATTTTTGTCATTTACGTATATTGAAAACGTAAAATATATTGTAAAAACAAAACAATATATTTAGTTACTATATAAATATAAAGATCAAACATTAATATTTTTTTTGTTTTCTTGGTAGTTTGACGGCGGTGGAAGAGGTCGGTCAGGACGATATTCTGTCTGTTTGTTCCGGCTAATCTCCGAAACAGCTGGACTGATTTCGACGGGACTTTCGCTGGCAGATAGATAGCTGATGCTATAAGGAGTAACTTAGGCTACTTTTATTTTAGAAATAGAATTAGAATTCCTTTTTTTATTTTAGAAATAGAATTAGACTAGATTAGAGACTTATTTTTTTTAATATATAGAGTACAATGGAGATACGTTTTAATACTTACGAGCATTGGTCTTCATATTTTCTTAAGATATCTGAAATAAAGTAATATAAGGTTAAAATTTAATAATCCTTTAAGACAGAATTTGTGTTTAATCTTATCTTACTCTATTATATAAATGCAAAAATTTGGATGGATGGATGTTTGTTACTCAATCACGCCAGAACGGTTGAACGGATCCGTGAAATTTGGCACAGCATAGATTATAGTCTGGAATAGCACATAGGTTTTTATCTCGAAAAAATTGTTCCCATGGGATAGATTTGCTTTTATTTTTCAACCGTGTCCATTTAGATTTCCAAATATTTCGTCAAAACAATGCATTTAAAAATATTCATAATCGTAGAAAAGAAAAAGGTCGGAAACCTTAGTTAGGTACCTAAAAACTAAGTTTTGTATTCTACATTTGATTTTACAACTGTATGAAGTGACGTCAACGTAAAGTTATTTAATAGTTAAAAATAATGAAAACTATTTAAAATCAAAATATATATTGTACTTACTATTTGCATTTACAATAAATTATTATAAATTGTTATTTGAGTTTAGTAAAGTTGTAGACGTTGACTCAATAAGCAAGGCACCGACGTACTAAATTAATGCGGTCATCTAAATGTACCTAATATCAGACAAATAATCTATACGTATATTACAAAGAGGCAGAGTTTGTTTGTTTGTTTGAATGCGCTAATTTCAGGAACTACTAATTCGATTTGAAAAAATCTTTTTGCATTAGATGGCCCGTTTTTGATCAAGGGTATTCAAATGACTGACGATTTGGACGTGACCAAAAGTCGTGACCGATTTAAGAAAATGTAAAAAAAATGTAACCTTGAAATACTCGAGCGCGTCAGATTTTTATACAGTAGTATAATATGGTAGTTTAGTAGGTAGTTTTTATAGGAGTATTTGATCGAAAAAGCTGTCCAAAATTATTTTTAGTATTTTCCTACCAAGTTGCTTATAGAATGCTATTATATAGAAAAATATTTTTTTTTGTCAGTAAATATTGTTATAGTACTAATTTTAACACAAAATAATGTATTTACTGTCGTTTTGTATTCATTGATATTTTCTTATGGGTTAAATTTTTTCATTAGTTTATTTACTTATTACATATGAAAAGTTGTAACTTGATATGTCAAACAGTCCTTTTTACATAGGTATTATAAACAAAAATCGATGTTGAGTCTCATCAAGAAGTTTTATAGTAATATGGGCACTTGATTTTAAAAGTACGAGATATATTTTATACAAAACTGAATTAAAAGAAATGTATGAACTCAAAATTTTATTGATTTTTTTTAAACAAAATTTAATCTTCGGCGTTCAGTCTGAATCTTCTTCATCCAGGTTTGTCAAATATCACAGGGTAGAAACGTCTGCATTGCAATAGTGGAGAACGAGTTTGAGATACATTGAGGCTTGGGTCTCATACTGCTCAACAGAGGTTCAGACGTTAATAAAAGTCTGTTAAGGGCATCAAAATTGCATTGTTTGTGGGAGAATTTTCTTGAAAAGTTTTGCCTGTATAAGCGAAAATGCTTATGTCTATGCATATTAATTATTAAAGTCATGTGAAGTCGCCCAACATTAAGTGCAGTATGATGAGGTATATCAAATGTACCTTTTAGCCTTTCTCGGTTTTTGTTAAGAAAATTGCTTTTTGTACGATTTGCGGCCGTCCAACGAGTTTCCATCTCTTTCTTGAAATAGGAAAATTTTCGTATAAAATCAGCTTTACATTCATTTGGGAATGAAGGATTTGCAAGGATGCAGACTTTTACTGAATCCAATTTATCGGCATAATTTCGCTCCCTATGTTTTTAAGCATATTAAATATCTCCAAACGTGTCACTATCTTAACACCAGATGTCCCTAAAACAAGTAAAAAAAAAGACTTTAAAAAAACATTGGCGAAAATTAATGTGGTTTTGGTAATATGCGATTTCAAAAAGATTAAGTTATATTTTAGAACGGGCACATTCGGTTAGCGTTTTTTTAATTAGTTATTAAGGCGACTCTCTGGGGATATCAAAAAACTCAAAATTATAACCGCATATTGCCCGCTTGTATTACTAATATGCTCATTTTAAACTCAAAAATATAAGTAAATTTTAAGTACACTTCAAATAATATTATTTTACATGTTATGTGAGTATTTATTTCTAATATAATGAAAGAACAACATACCTTTTTTTTTTAACGTTGGGAAATGCATTTACGCACGAGGTGTGGGACTCACCGGCAAAGCCAGTACTACCCACTAAAACCCAACAAAGCCTTCCCCCGTCTTAATGGGGCGTCGCAGGATCGCTTACGCATTCAACTACGACGCCCTGACGGCAGGTCTGCCGAAGCAGACCACAACAACCACGGGGTTGCTCCAAGGTCCACTCTGCTATCAGAGAAGTACCAGGAGCAACCCGCAAGGTACACCGCCCTCCGAAGAGGGCCACATCCCACCGCCCACCGAAGTGGGCCACCTCCCTGTGCGTTTCTTGGCTTCGCGCCCGGTTGGGTGTCCGGGCACTACTGAGCCCCCCCACGACGACAAGGTGAACGCACGTTGGGGGGGGAAAAACAACATACCTGGCTCAACATCATACATTGTGGAAAGCACCACAATTATCTCCACAAAATCAATTAAATATTTATAAAAACCAGAAAAATATCGTACTATGAAAACGTAATATTTAATCAGTACACGAAAGCAGTCTAATGACGACTGGTGGCTGAAAGTTTGTCAAGATAAGGACAAACAAACGCGATGTACAGGTACCTGGACTCTTCAGCTTACCCAGGTACCTTTTTCATTTATGAAGTCAAGTTTTTGTATTATTAAATATTGGCCAGCTTTTTGGTTTAAATAAGCCATAGCCATAACCGTCTCACGGTTCAACTTCATGTCCTAGTCGTCCTAAATGATAATCTGACAATTATATGGAGGGATATTGTTAATCTGACAATTTGAAAAAAAAAAATTCATAATGTACCTACCTTATATGGCAAATAAAATTTATTACCATATCACAGATTATTTTATTATACTAGTTCCAATATTAAATACTTAGTTACAAACTTACTACAAGTAATACTGAACAAGAATACAGTAGTGAGTGAAACATCTGAGATAAATATCACTATTATTGAAATATTAGTTACAATATTATAATATTGCCAGACGAATATATTAATATTAGCTAATTCTGAAAAAAATCGGTATTAACCCATCTTTAAAAAACGAACACGTTATTGTGATCGGTTGAGATGGCATCATGGCGGCAGACGGTAGTGTGGGGACGGTGCGAGAGAGAATAGAGAGAGAGATAGAGAAAAAGTGTGAAGGAAAGAGAGGTGCGGAGTGAGAAATACACAATTCTCAGCATCTGTACGCTTTATCCTTTATTGATGGTTTTAGCTACATCACCCCATGAAAATCGTCAGTTTGTATGTTTTTTTGTAATCCTGAAAGAATTCCCTTAAAAAAAACAATCGCGCTCGAGTATTTCGAAGTAACGTGTTTTTTTTTATAACTTTGTGACACACCCATTTCCTTAAATTATCAGATTATTGAAATATATACTTTTCTGCATGCACTTAACTTGCCTTATCTTAACCCCCCCAACGTGCGTTCACCTTGTCGTGGTGGGGGGGCTCAGTAGTAGTAGCGAAGCTAAGAAACGCACAGGGAGGTTGCCCACTTCGGTGGGCGGTGGGAGGTGGCCCTCTTCGGGGGGCGGTGAACCTTGCGGGTTGCTCCTGGTACTTCTCTGATAGCAGAGTGGACCTTGGAGCAACCCCATGGTTGTGGTGGTCTGCTTTGGCAGACCTGCCGTCGGGGCGTCGTAGTTGAATGCGTAAGCGATCCTGCGACGCCCCATTAAGACGGGGGATGGTTTTGTTGGGTTTTAGTGGGTAGTACTGGCTGTATTACGCCGGTGAGTCCCACACGTCGTGCGTAAATGCATTTCCCAACGTTAAAAAAAAAATCTTAATCTGACGCGTTCGAGTTTTTCTGAGGATCGATTTTTTTTAACTAATCTCACGGGCTGCCCTCAACGCACCCATAGAGGGTACGTTGAGGGCAGCCCCTATGGGTGCGTTGAGGGTAGAGGGGTGGAGGAATATAGGGTTCATATATGGTAGGGGTATATTACAGGGTGCAAGCTTTCTGCCATATAATTATCTAACGCGCTCAGGTAACGCACAAAATCTCCTCTTGGGCACCCCTACCATTACCATTATTAGAGAATGATTGTTCACAATTACACTTTGCCTGTTTATAATATTATTAGTGGAGAATGTAACTACCTTGTAACTTTACCCAAGTAAAAGTATTTTAACTGTGTGCTCTTGCATTCCTATTCGTCTTTCTTTTATTTAGGTTTGAAGGTTGGTTTTATTAGACATATTATATAATAATAAAATTTATGTAACTAATCATGCAGTAGTGCTACTTAATCGGATCTTTCGAAAGTATTTTCGAAGTCGGTGCCAGCCGACGCATAGGAAATCTAATATATTTTGATACGTAAAATACATATTTACCTATTAGATATTCATATATCTTAAAATATTGTCCGCTGGCACCGACTTCGAAAATATCTGATTAGGTATCTATTCTAAATGAAAACTCCCGTTAAGTTATTTTTTACATTTTAGTACCTGGATGTAGGTTTTATTTTAAGTTTTTATTTTTATATTTTTAGTGTAGACGTAATAAGCGGGTAATTTGTAGGAAGTTTTTAATAACATATTCGATTAAATAATTTGTTTTTAAAACCGCTCGACCGATTTCGATAAAATTTTATATGGGACTACCTGGAAAGTATACCCTTTCAAACAAAACAAAAATTTTCCAAATCGATTCAGGCGTCTTCGAGTAATCGTTGAACATACATTAAAAAAAAGATTCCGACGAATTGAGAACCTCCTCGTTTTTGGAAGTCGATTAACAAAATGGCTCATTCATCAAATTTTAAACAAAAAGGCGGATTCATTAGTTTCCACACCATTCCATCTCTCAATACCATTTCTTCAAAAAGTAAACGTCAGTAACTTGAAATTTAATGTCTGAATGCTGCCCTTTGTTGCATTTTTCATATAATTAATTATATTAAACACTTTCCAAAAATCTTATAAAGACTGTAAACAACGGCTATTTTTATTTTTTTGAAACATCTTAAATATTCTCTAAATAGAATATTCACCCCCCTCCCATATATTATTAATTTTCTATTATCAATATCTATTGTAGATATTGAATCTGTCAAAAGAACCAGGAGGTTAACGTCAAATAATATTGAAATTATTTATTTTCACCCACTACAGATACTTTAGAAAAAATATAGAAAGCACATCCTATATATTTTTTAACAGTACAAATACTTAAATTAATTTTAACCATTAAAAATGGGGCTCAAAAAACTATCGACGTCTGGGACAACCGGATATTAGATAAAAATATAAATGTACTATTATCATAAAAATATGAACTGAACGGGATACTTTGTCATGAATCGTTGTATCACGTATATATCCGCTGTTATCACAATCAAGGATGTATTGTTTGCCTAAGCCGGTGTTTATATCAATTATCAGCATTTGTTTATGGATATAAATATAATTAGTAATTTTTATATTATTACTAGCATTGTAGCAAATTCTTAGGTTTTCTTCTTACAATGCAGTTTTTGTATTTTTTCTCAGAAATGAGATTTTCCCGCGGTAAAAAGTATCCTATATGTTGACCCGGATAACCAGCTACCACCATACTAAATTTCATCAAAATCCCTCCAGTGGTTTTTCCGTGATGCGGTAACAGACAGACAGACAGACATACAGACTAAAATTCTAGAAACTATAGATTCGGCCTATGTATCGATAATAATGTTCATTTCAATAAGATTTTCCAAAAAATATTTAATGTGCGGATTCGGCTTGGTTAGAATTTTATTATATGTATAGATTTTAAAAGTTAGTAAGTGAGGAAGTGTGTTTGTTCTTCACGCAGTGGTCTTGAAAAAAAATAGCTTTAATAAAAGATAAAAATAGGTGGTAGTCTTAGCCGCGGGCAAAAATTAATTATGTATTGGCTAATTAGGACTTGTGATGTTCAAACTATCATAAGATAATTTATTATTTACCTAGTGCCCACTTTGCGAACGAAAACCACAAAAACCTACGAAAGCACTCGAAAATACTTCTCTATCCTTATCCTTGAAGAACCTTTTTCTACCCTGGTTAGGTAAACGCCGGTGAAAATCACGTTAAAAACTAGTACCTAAGCCGCAGACAGACTAATAAAAAATTAAGATTGTTTAGTGTTTAGAGTTTGGCAATGTGCAAATAATCATATTATTATATAAGCTCAATATGAACATCAATGATATTCTTAGATTTTGGTACCTTTGGTATCTCTTTCGTATGATGTAATGTATAGTCTAGGTATATAGGTACTAGGTTCGAGTCTCGGTTCATATCAGTCGGACAATTGATGTGAAACTTAGCCATGTTTTTCTTCTGTACGAGTATTACATTTCTTTTATTAAAAACTAGCAGAACTCGCGGCTTCGCTCGCACTAAAACTAGAAGAAAACTCTAAAAAGTGGGTTTCATAAAACCTTTCATCCCCTATTTTATCCTCTTAGGGGTTGACTTTAAGAAAACGCTGAAATACGTAACTCATTATTTTTGCCGTAATCAATTCATACGAAATTTCATGCAAATATGTCCAAGGAATAAAAAGTTTCATACAAACTTTTATCCCCTATTTCATCCCCCTGGGGATTAAATTTTGAAAAATCCTTTCTTAGTAGATGCCTTCGTCATATGAGGAATACGTGTGCGAAATTTCAATTTTCTAGCCTTATGGGTTTGGCCTGTGCGTTGATACATCAGTCAATCAATTTTGCATTTTATATATATAGATAACTAAGAACTCGCAACAAATATATATTTATATTAAAAAAAAATTGTTCATAGATGTGATTTATAACTGGATCCTATTTAAAGTTTTTTCAATTAGCCTTTTTGTATACTCATCCATCGAGAATAGCTTGACAAAGTTCTATGAAAGTACATGTACAACTTAGTATGATATCTATACTTAATATTATAAAGAGACAGAGTTTGTTTGTTTATTTGAACGCGTTAATCTCAGAAAGTATTAATCCGATATGAAAAATTATTTTAAAGGCTATATATAGGCTATATATCATCATGCTACTACGCAAGGGAGCGGAATAGTATTACTCATAAATGTCACCCAATCAGGCAAACTTCCATTCATTATTGTAAAACAATATTATATATGGTATATAATATGAGTCGATATATAACATAAAGCCAAAGATTTTTTTTGTAGTTTTAACGCGAGCGAATCCGCGGATTCTGCTAGTGTTATAATAAAGAAGTTAAGCATTTACATGAATAACAAAATATAATAGGTACTATTCTATAAACGCTACTTTGCACCGACATGCAGGTATACTAATCAAAGTATATGAATATATATATATATATATATATATATATATATATATATATATATATATAGGTATGGAGCATTCTTGCTTGATAGATTATCATAATATACAACATAGAATATTGTGTCAGATCAATTAAAATAATCTGCTTGTTAAATAAAAAACCTAATGAACTCAAATAAAAAGGAATAATAATAAATTATTATTATTATTTTATTTATATATGATTTCATTTTTAACGAAAATAATAAATTTGTATTCAACTAGCGACTCACCCTCGCTTCGCTCGGGTTCGTCCCTTGGTATATTTTAAATTAAAGTGGATATAGTATGTTTTCCTTAAAAGATAGACATATGCCATCGCGGACTTTTCTGTAGATCTATATAAGATACACAATTCCACCATACATTATTTTGTTATATCTCCAAAGGTTTAGGCAGCGTTTTCGTTGAAAGCTCCCAGACAGCTTATTTTTTTTCGACACCTCCAACAAATATCGTTATATTTTACCCAATGTATACAAAAACTTAAAAAAATATATACTACCTTAGTCTTACTACCTTCCTCTTGAATCACTCTATCTATTAAAAACTCGCATCAAAATCCGTTGCGTAGTTTTAAAGATCTAAACATCATAGGGACAGACAGACAGCGGGAAGCGACTTTGTTTTATACTATGTAGTGATAATGCTTTACAAAAACCTGTTACAATAATACTTTTTGTTTCATTACTTGTATAACAATTTTCTCAAAACAATATGCAAGATTCTTTTGGTGTATCATATGACAAATGTGTGTGTATGTTTATTTCCTTTACACTCAAACAATTTGACGGATTTGGATGAAATTTAGAACAATGATAGACGAGACCAAAAAATGGGTGCGTGTAACCTTTACGCGCGGTTGAAGTAAAACTTCTTTGGAAAATATTGCAATTAAATTAAAACAAATCAATAATTAAATAAGGCTTATTAGGCATATTAAATCATATATTTATAGAATATCATATACGGAAAGAATATAATATTTGTCGTACAATAACAACGGTTACCATGGCAACATAGCAATGTATTTTATCTCATTCTCTCGCCGGCTTAATCCTATATATTTATATGTTTGTCTCTTTTTAGTGTCACTTTTTGATTTCATCGAGTTTCAAATCACAACGATTCTAAAGAATTTAACACTTCAATAAAACGTCTGTTCATTCATTTATCTATGACAGAATACCGGTGATCCCATTTCGTAGCGTCAGCAAATGATGCGAGCATCAAATTTTATAATGCCCACGACTTTGGACTTTGGTTATGTTTGTTGTGCGATAAGCTAGCTTGCAGTCACATGAACTCATACGTAACTCAGGTAACTAACTTTTTTTTAATATTTATAATTCTATAATTTAAAGAAATAAATGAAAATATTAATATTTATTCATATAAATATAGAGTTCAAAAATTTTACTATTACATTCAATTTTCCAATTAGATAAATTTTAAAACTTTTAAAGTTTCACATCATTAGTGCTTTAGTAAGAACAGAACAGCGTTCGTATTTTAGTGCCAAGCGTAAGTCGAGTTTAGATTAAGTTAAATTAATATTAAAAATATTTAAGACTAGGCCTGAGGTTATGAGTACTAAATATTTATTTAAAATGTAATTAAAAATAATTATTATACTTAAGGTAATTAAATACTACTTCATTAGCACTTAAATACCGTAAAGGTGCTTTAAGTTTATTTTTATTTTTCATTGCATTAACCATTTAATATACGATAGTAATAAATTATTATTTTTAGAAATATCATAGAAAAATGAGAATGAGTAATGAAATATTTATCAGCCTAATATGTATTATCCTAAAATTATAATAAAAATTCTTTAAAAAAAGGGGGGAATGTGGTGTGGGACACACACACATGTACAATAAGTATCTATAATAAAATGACTTATATAAGTATTTATAATAAAAACTATAAGTATTTATAATAAAATCACTTGGCATTTGACTCTTGAGCCTTTCATTTTTATAGTTGTAAAGAGTCCCTTACATAAACATAATAATTATGTAACTATTGATATTTATTCCAAGATACCTATTCCCAAATTGTATCAAACTGTCAATTACCTTATTTTACCCAAATCAATTATATGTTACAGATTTCTACGACTAACAGCCAGATACCATAATGAAAGGTAAGATTCATAGAAACCATTCATAATATACATAACAGCTCTTATCGGATTCTATTTAAATCGAATACTGTAACAATGATTTTTAGAAATACTTATTTTCCTATTGAATGGGATATTTTTATTCCATAGATACATAATATATTGCCTCGGTGGTCTAATGGCTAGTATGCACGGTAACAGATCCTGAGGTCCTGGGTTCGATTCCCGGGTCGGGCCAAGTTTAGTTATTGAATATTTCTGTCAAGAAATTCTCATTAACAGCCCGGAGTTGTGAAGCTGGTCGTTTCACCCCCGTGCTTCGGAGAGTATGTTAAGCCGTCGGTCCTGCGCCTTAACACTCACTAGTCGTGTCGAGTAGTCGTCCCACCGGAGTATGAGAGTGACAGGAATAGAGAGTGTACTTGTATCTGCGCGTACACTTGTGCACTATAATATCTCCTGCACAGTTGGCTAGTCTCAATGAGATTGGCCGCCGTGGCCGAAATCAGTCGTGAGGGCATTATTATTATTATATTATTATAAAAGAAAGCTAAAACGGTATTATTAACTCCGTTTGAATCTGTGTAATTAAATCTTAATTGTCGATTTTAATCTATAATATTGCCTAATCGTTTTCCTTTTTCCTTAAAAGGTTTCCTTTATAATCATAGGAATCTGGGTAAAAATATAGTATTTTGATTATTATCGAACTGATAAAAAGATCGTGGCAAGAAAATAACAGTAAAACATTTTTAATTTTCTTCTAGTAAAAGCTTCAATTTTGAACTCATTTGATAACTTTCTGGTAGTACTATAATTAACCAAAAATCTGTGACATAAAATTATTCTTCAAAACTATTTGATAGGTATGTAGATGTTTGAAAATAAACTCTTTAAACCTTAAGCCAGTACTTATAACATTATTTTTTTTAATGTTGGTACATTAACTTACGGCACCATCTTGTACCATGATAAGCTACGAGGCTTGTGCTATGGATAATGGATAGTTGATACACTACACATATATAACTTTAAATACATACATATTATAAATGACTGGAGTACAAATATTCGTGCTCATCATGCAAATAAATGAAACTAAAAGAAAAAGTCGGGAACCTTAGGTTCCTAAAATCAAGTTTTGTATTACACTATATTTGCTTTAATGTCTTGAATTATATGTATGGCAAACGAGACGTTATCACCAAAAGTCAGCAGACTTCCTAATGCCTTGAAATTTATCTGGTTAAATATGTCCCAATTAAGCTAATTTGCTTTATTTCGACATAAATTCTTAAAAAAACTCATAGAAATACGTCTAGATATTTTTAAAAGATGCACGATTAAATAAACGCACAAATACGAAGAAATTTACATTTTGATAGATTGAAACCATTTTTTAACCATCAACCAACCACTATTACTACATAAAAGTGGTTCAAAATGTATTTAAAAATACAGGACAGGAACAGGAAGGAGGATTAAATAATCTTTTAATAAAAAATTAAGACCTATGAACTACTTATGTAATAGCATACCCACACTTATTTAAACTTTTTCACAAGGTACTAACATTTTTCAAAAACAGAAGTAACACTGTTTGCTTCATATATAAAAATACTATATGAGAGAAAATATTAAATTTATTTGCTATCTATTTACATATGTGACTTTAATTTAAATTTCTCGCCTTTTCAGAACTAATACCATTGGTTATTTTGCTGGTCATATCACGGGTGTCCTGCGATTGTCCATTAGAACAAATTCACAGCATTGGATATTGTTCTTATCGAATACAGTGCTCAGAAACCATAAAAGATGTGAAACTCGACAAACAATGCACAGGATCTCCAAACTACGACGTTAAGATCAAGGTAGCACTTCGCAACGCTAATGACAATTTTCATACAACAGCTGATGAAGAATTTCTTTCTAAGATCACCACACTTACAATTTCTGCAAACTGGCCAGAAACTTCACTATTATTCTTAAATACCATGTATTTCCTAGAACACTTATTCCTTACCAACTGTTATATAAAAAAAATTAACGGTAGGCCATTTGGTAATCTCATGTATTTGGAAACTTTAGATCTATCTCACAATTTCTTATCAGATATTGAAGATCTCTTTCAATTTGATACTCACCAACACAAAATGCGTAAACTATCATTAGCACATAATTTAATTGAGGAAGTTCCAGGCGGCACATTTGATGAACTAACCAGCCTTGTAGAACTCGACTTATCTTATAATCTCATTACAGAACTAAGCGAAGAGCCATTTTTGAACTTAACAAACTTACACATACTTAAACTCAACAACAATAATATTAAAGACATTAACGGGGCTATGAATAATTTAACAAATTTGAGACATTTGTATCTGAGTCATAATCAAATTTTTTATATTGGTATGGAATCATTGAAAACAATTAATCATTTGCAAACTTTTGATATATCGAATAATCAAATACAGAATATGAAACCAATTTTCTTTTTGAGACATTGGGATCACTTTAGAAATCATTCGATTTGCAGAATTATTATTTCTGATAACTTTATCAGTGTCATACCAAACTCCACATTTTACCTTTTTGAAAAGACAGTAAACCAAACGAAAAGAGACATACAACAACACCCAATCGAAATATTAACCGAGCTTGACCTATCCAAAAATAATATTAGTCATATCGAATATAATGCCTTTCAATATATTGGTCAACTAGTTTCCTTAGATTTGTCTAATAATAAATTATTATCATTTCACGTTGATTCAAAAGACTTGATGTCTGTTAAGTATCTAAATCTAAGCTGCAATTATTTGACCAGTTTACGCTACGAAAGTTTTGCGTTAATGCACAATTTACAAAATTTAGATTTATCCCACAACTTTATGGACTATTTCCCTGACCAATCTCTCACTAATAGCAACACGATTAAATATATCAACATGACTCATAACGAAATCGCTGAGCTTCATAGTTTACGCATAATTTTCCATCCTGATGGAGGGGTACTGGATTTATCTAACAATGGATTATCAGCCTTAAGCATACCTTTTAATGAGGCAATAGGTCTTAGAGACCTTATACTTAGTTCAAACAATATAACAGATGCATTTCTTATAAAATTGACAGACCAACGAGATCTAACGAGACTTGACATGACTCACAATTTTATACAAGAATTAGATGAATCTTCTTTACAATTGCCCAACACATTGAGCTATTTGGATTTAAGTAATAATCATATTCAAAGAATCGCTCCTTCTGCGTTTCATCGGGTAAGCCATTTGAAAACATTGAGATTGTCACATAATCAGCTAAAAATGATAGAATACGGTGTATTCCGAAGTTTAACAGCGCTTCTCAACCTAGATCTTTCGTACAACCAAATAAAAGAGTTAGATTCTAGGGTGTTTATGGACCTGAAACTTCTCAGTACACTCTCACTACGCTATAATGGTCTAGCATATATTGACCATAACATTTGGTTAAATCATAAATATAACTTAAAAGTGTTTTTAGATGGTAATGACCTATCATGTCCATGGTTAGCTAAAGCCTTGAATGACTACAATAATGGATATTCCAAAATGAACCCCACAGTACTCAACGCGTCTATTACCGGTCATTCCATTGATGGAATCCCTTGTAATCAAAAGACGACAGAAAAGATGGAAAATTATTATTATGCAAATTATGAGACGGATGAACGGCTTTTGATTACAAGTCAGAAGATTCTAGAAGCAGTGCAAGACCAAACTCATTATTTGAAAAAATATATCTGGCGGTTCATTCTGCAAGAGGCGAAGAAACAAGAAGCCTCAAATAATACAAACAATATTTTGTAAGCATCTTGTTCGTATACGAAATATTTTTTATATAATTTGAAATTTTTTATAATTTTTGTAAAGACTCCATACTAATGTGTTTATTTTCATTATTTTTAAATAAATAGTTATTAAATAAAGAGTATTTACTTTTTTAATGTTATATCATTTTTTGTTAAAAAATAAAATGCATATTAAAATCGAAAGTACCCTGAAGTATGATAAGAATATTAATCATTTTTTTTATTTTGATAAACTATTTTTACTAAACTAAAACCTTTTCAAAGTAAATAATTTTTTGTTCAGTGAAAATCTATACATATAATAAAATTGTAACTAAGCTGAATCTGTACATTAAATATTTTTTTGGAAAATCTTATTGAAATAGTCATTCTTATCGATACGGAAGCCGAATCTATAGTTTTTAGACTTTTTCTCTGTCTGTCTGTTACCGCATCACGGAAAAACCACTGGAGGGATTTTGATGAAATTTGGTATGGTGATAGATGGTTATCTGAATCAACATATAGGATACTTTTTACTATGAATAAAAACTTTTTAACAAAAAAATAAAAACCGACTTCAAACAAAAGCACTAAACAGTAAAAAATAACTGATTGGTAGTTTTCATTTACCATACATACCTAATCAAATATTTTCGAAGTCGGTGTGCTTTGCTTTGTATGGGCTGGCACCGATTTCGAAAATATTTGATTAGGTATGTATTTAATAGGTAGGCTTTAATTACTAAGCCAAAGCACACCGACTTCGAAAATATTTGATTAGGTATGTATGGTAAATGAAAACTACCAATCAGTTATTTTTTACTGTTTAGTGCTTTTGTTTGAAGTCGGTTTTTATTTTTTTGTTAAAAAGTTTTTATTTTTCCCTTTTTAGTGTAGACAGTAGTAGCAAAGTAAGGATTCTAACGTGTTAGGCTTGTCAAATCAAACAAAATAAGCCCAAACTCAAAGTATCTACTATTAGCCGTTGAAGAGTTCCACCTATCCACCTTCTAGCCTTGCCATCAGATCAGGTCAACAACACCGAACCACTGTACTATCAACGGAAATAGAAATACTTGCAAAGTTTCAAGTCAATATGACAATTAGAAGTAGGTTAAATTCATTATTAGTTGTTTTTCCACCCTTAGGGGTGGATTTTTTTTTTGAAATTTAAATGGGACCAATCTGGAAGTATACCCTTTCAAACAAAACAAAAATTGTCCAAATCGGTTAATAAATGACGGAGTTCTGAGGTAACAAACATAAAAAAAAAAAAAAAACATACAGTCGAATTGAGAACCTCCTCCTTTTTGAAGTCGGTTGAAAAATATCTCATCTCTGAGAAATCTATAGTAACCGTTAAAACGTATCTAAGGACGAACTCGAGCGGAGAGAGGGTGAGTCGCTAGTCCATACATAAAAAACCACTTAACCTACAGTTATAGGCAGTGGTAGCCCAGTGGTAACGCGCTCGCTTGGGAAACCAAGTGAAGGAAAACATCGTGAGGAAACCTGCAGGTCTGAGAAAACCTAGCAAGTTTTCGAAAGACATATGAAGTCCGCCAATCCGCACTTGGCCAGCGTGGTGGACTATGGCCTGATGCCCCTCGTATGAAGGGAGGCCCGTGCCCAGCAGTGGGGTGTTAAAAGGGCTGAATACAACCTACAGTTGTACACCATATTTTGTTATTTATTGTAAAGTCGTTTGAAATAAAAGTCCAAATCTTTTTATTACTTTTCAAGGCTATTGCTTATGTTAAATTTATTTATTAGCATTAAATAGAAAAAGGATCAAATCAAGCGTTAAATTTCATTAAAAGCATCTTGGACAGAATATCATGAAATCTGTACATTTTTGGTGATAATAATTTTGTATGAAATTCATGTTTTAAAAATGACAAAAATGTTATTATTTTACGCTAGCAGAACTCGCGGCTTCACTCGCGCTAAATTTACAAAAAAAATCTCTAAAAAGGTAGGTTCCATACATACTTTTATCCCCTATTTTACCTCCTTAAGGGATGATTTCCGGGATAAAAATACCCTATGTCCTTTCCAAGCTCTCAACCTATCTACTAAACATAAATTAATAGTACTTTTATTTTAATGCTCTAAAAAGAAGAAAATAAACTTTTTATTAAATCAAGCTTATCAATTTATTACATAACACAATTTATATGATATAACACCATGTCGCGCGAGTTACCTATTTTATAAAAAACATATTATTTCTTTCTTAGAATAATACTATTGTGTCAAGATCAAGTTACATATTGTATTCTATTTAACCACACAAGTAGTATGTATATTTTTATGACGATAAAATAAGATAAAAAATATACATATAGGACCTCATTGTGCTCTTTTAATATGGCTATTGACCGACTTTGAAAATAAGTAGGTACTCAATTTCGATCTTGTTTTCTTTTTTAAGTTACAGAATATGTTAGCCAAATGAACAGTTTATAGTTTTTCTTAACGTTGTTAAAGGTTAACTCATACGACCTCCAAACATACAGAAAAGCCAGTAGGTATTACGACTAAAATCCAACGGAACCTCTTAATTTGGCGTCGCGCAATCGCTTACGTAGTCCAGTACGACGACCGGACGGCAGGCCTGCCGAGGTAGATCAACAACAGTATGAGTATTCTCCCACGGTTCACTACTATAATAGAAGTATCAGGGGCATCCCGCATGGTATACCGCCCAGGTCCAACCGAATGGGGGACCCTACTTGCTGTGTCAACGATCGCGGGTTCGAGTCCCGCTGGGGGCATTCACTTTTGTGATGAGTACGAATGTTTGTACTCCAGTGATGGGTGTTATATTTATAATATGTATGTATTTAAATTTATACCTATGTATATACTATATAATCTATCTGTTCCATATTAACAGTTAATCTATACTTAATATAAAGAGGTAAAGTTTGTAAGTTTGTGACGTTGTAGAGTAATTTCTGAATCTACAGAACTCATTTAGATGAAATTTGGAAGAAGATAGGTTGATACTTTTTATCCCGGAAATAATCCCTTAAGGGGGTGAAAATGGGGATAAAAATTTGTATGGGGAATCAAGCAGGGACGAACCCGAGCGAAGCGAGGGTGAGTCGCTATTTCGATAATAAATGTATAAATTTTTTTAACATTTATTTTTAACAAAATAATACAGCATTTTATTTAAAATCGTCAAATTCTGGATAATTATCACCATAATCTACGCTAAACAACATTGCGCATTCTACTTCACCAATTCTTTCGTCTCTGCTCACATGTACTGGCCCTATATCGGTTAGCTCCAACAGGGCTAGATCACTTTTCGTTGACACCATGAAAGCCAGTTTTAAATGATCCCTTTAAAGACATTTATTAATTAATATTTTTTGAAGTGAAACTTCTTTAGAATCGTTGTGATTTGAAACTCGATGTAACGGAAAGGCGGTCTGAGAAAGAGACAAACATATAAATATAATACAATAAGACATATTATATAATAATAATACAATATAGGATTAAGCCGGCGAGAGAATGAGATAGAATACATTATCATGTTGCCATGGTAACCGTTGTTATTGTCTGAGAAATATATAATACTATAGTTTCATTTGTACCATGTGTGAATTTAACACACACGCACATTTTTTATATTATACTAGCGAACCCGGTAGGCACACGCTGTTATGCCATATGCCTAATTTGGTTAGAAAGTTAAAAATATATATTTTGTGGATCACGAACAGCGCCATCTACCGTGTCTAAATATAAATAATTTAACCCATTTCAATATTAAAAATCGTCAAATAAAAAGTTCTACCGAAATGACTTCAGTCCAATCTCGATTGATGTGAAATCATAAGTTTTAACTACTTTGCTAGTTATTGAAAAGCTTACAAAATAAAATGATTAACTATAACATTTGGTTTAATTGATTGTTAAATTTTAACTAATAGTTAAAAAAATATTTTGTTATAAATAAATATTACAATAAATCTATCTAAAAATTTTAGGATACAGATGCAGACTTCATAATCTCGGATTTCAACCGATAAGGATACGTACAATTTACAATGCTAATTAAAGTACCTAAGTTACCATAAGGTTGCATTTTTATATAATGAGCATTTTAATAGAAAATAATATATTTGATTAATTTGTAATGACTTATGTATAAGGCATTTAGTTATGTGACCTTGGCCGATAGGAATGTGTTTTAAAAAAAAATAAAAAAGGGCGCGGATATTCATTTGTTTTCCCGCGCTTTTGCACAGAGATGTCGGTACCACCATAGTGGCTAGTCACGAATTGTTTGTAATACTGAAAATCATGTTTATAAATTATGTAACTCACTGACGATTATAAAAGTACCTACTGAATATAAGAATATAAGCAAGGAATATCTCGAAGTTTTATTTATAGTGATCCTACACTATATAAGAACCGTTTAAATTTAGTGCATTTTGTTGTTATTTTAATGTATATTAAATAATATTATAACTAACAAGTTATGTATTTGCTTCATAGTCTCAAATTGTTTAACACTGTACGCGAGATGTGCAGCATCCTCCAGATTTTTTGCTTGGAAAATTCCCATCTGCAAGTTAATTTAACTCCATCACTAAACATCCGTAGTAATGTTATAAAAGTGAAAGTAAATCTGTCTGTAAACTTTTCACGCTGAAACCGCTGAACAGATTTTGACGAAAATTTGACATAAGCATCATTACCACGTTTGCGACGCGAGCGAAGCCGCAGGCAGCCATTAGTTTTGTACCAATGACTAATTCTTTAATGTATAGAAAATTCGCGCACATTTCATAAGGAAAGATACATATAAACGAAAGATAGAGATATAAGATTGGCAAGAACAACAAAACAAAATCCTGAATTTAAAGTACATAATAGTTTCGTTGGGATATATGCATATAATATTATTTACTTCACATATCTATCTATCCGAATCTGGTCGCTTTTTCTCAAACATAGAGGTGTCCTTACGATGTTTTTCCTCGCCGATTACCACTTGCTAGGTAATCATGTTAAAAAGGACACTCGCGCACGAAAAGATTTTTAAGTGCCTCGTATCGAACCTGCTACCTCCATCGTAATAGGCAAAACGATGCTATGATGGTCTTTGGTTACCATTGCATTTTCTACTTGTAGGTACTCCTATATATGTACGAGTATGTTATGCCATTTTTACTATTATTCGTTGATTCATTGTTTTATTCATGTTAACTTACCTATGATTTTATTTTTATTGAAAACTCTCAAATTAAAGTTATTTTTTTAAGACTTTTTTGTAATTTGTTTTTTTTTGTGTAATTTATTAGAATTATATTTACATGTATAATTTCCTTTTTATATTTTGCTAATGCGTCTATAGCTTTATATCGCTTCGCTATATCGAGCATGACCAAAACGTGTGGTGGAAGAAATTCCTGTTCCGGAGTAACATTTTCTAGTACCAGCTAAAAAAAACATAATGCCTTTTGAACGTGACATATCATAAGTTAGTAGTAGGTATACACTTGCAGCAGAAATTATGTAAAATTCGTTTTTGAATGTATGCTTTTAAATTGTAAATTAAAAGAATAAAATCAATTCATCATAAACTTATTCATAAGAATATATTTAACTAGCGAATGAGCGAAGCGAGTGTGAGACACTCGCTTCGCTCGGGTTCGTCCCCATACAAACATCCCCATTTTCACCCCTTTAAGGGATGATTTCCGAGATAAATCTATCTTATGTCCTTTTCAGGGTCTCAAACTATCTTCTTACCAAATTTCATTTAAATCGGTTTAGTAGTTTCAGAGCTTATTCGATATAAACAAACAAACAAAAAAATCTGACCTCTATAATATTAATACACATGGAATTCATGTCATTGTTATTTAAAGATAAATACCTTTATGGTTTTATCGAATCGGTGTTCGTATACGATTTGACGCAAAAAACGTGTGCATGTGTTTAGTTCACGTTAATATGTATTTTAATTCGGTTTCCATTCCGATTCATATCGGTTTACCGTATCGGTTTTCGTATACGATTTGCGGATACATGAATTGTTTTTTAACCGTACCAGGTTTTGTCGTAAGGTGTGAATACAACCACAATATGTGCATGGACCACTGGAAACTGTATAAGAAAACCGTTTCAGTAAACGTTCGGCAGCGTGTGAACGCGCTGTAAGTATAGTGCAAAAATAACCATAAACATATTAAATATTATATATACGTAGTAGTACGAATGACGTACATTAGGAAATAAAATTGCAAGTCCATTAGCCTTTGCAATATCATTAGGCGGGGAATAGAACCCTGGTATAAGAAGACCTGGTGGTGGAAAGTATTCATTTTCGTCTTCTTCTTCACTTATTTCTTCTTCTTCATCAGATAACTCCTGTCATTTAGTTACATAATAATTAATTATATGTTTTAATATTACTGTTATAATCCTTAGATTTACGCGAATCTATCTTTTCGGATATTTTCTCATTTTGATTTTTTGGTACCTATTGTATTTTCGAAATCATTTTGTACATAATATGTTTCTCCCCTGACCATGATTGTTGTAAAACATTCGAAACGTCGGAAACTAAAAATCAAAACAAATTCGCGAAAAAAATCGAAAAAATAGTGTTACTTGAAATGATTATTATGTCATTTAATTTATATATTTTATGTCGTAGAAATTTTGAAACGGTTTTGCTAGCTGCGAGATTTATATAACAGTCCCGATGACGAGTTAATCGTGTAGTGTGTACTATTGGTTTTTAACTACCTCGTCGTATATCAAGTGGCTAGCATGTACAACTGCAGATTCTGGTTCAGATGTCTTGGGTTCGAATACCAGATCAGCAGCAGACTAGCGTTAAAAAGTAATGTTAAACCCTCAAGCCCCGGAGACCACGTAAAGCCATCTCCTGTGCCTGATCTGTCACTGGTCGTATGGAAGTATTATCCCTTAAGACTTTGAAAATGAATGGAATTGAGAGTGCAAACACGTTTTAATATCTTATGAGTATTTCTTGGACGAAATCAGTCAGAAGAAAATTATTATTATAATAATTGAAAGAACAACTGGAAAAAAACGGACCCACTCTAAAGGTAAAATTTATAAAACTTCCTATATTATTTTCAAAAAAATAACACTAATATCTAATGTACTACATGGTCACTGACTTACCTCTGGAACAACTATATCCACCTTATCATCTTCAGGTTCTTGGCGGAGCCTGTCTAAAGCTGTTAAATTCTATATAGAATATGGAATATTAGTAATTCGTATATAAAGTACCTTTATATTTATTATATAAGTGAGTGTTTTTAATTCACATAAAACGTAAAGAAAGAAATGATTATGTATGTTAAGTAATATTATAAAGCTAAAGATAATAATCAATAGTTTGTTCATTGTTCATAAAAGGTTATAGGCTATCTAACATCACACCACGGATATTTAGGAGCAAAAGTTTGGCTCAGTTTGTGGTGAGCCTACTTGCTGTGCCATCGGTCGCGGGTTCGAGTCCCGCTGGGGGCATTCATTTGTGTGATGAGCACGAATATTTGTACTCCAGTCATTAGTGTTTATATTTATAATATGTATGTATTTAAATTTATATATGTATAATGATCTGGACTATCTGGTATCCATAACACATGCCTCGTACTTTACAATGGAACTAGATGGAGTTGGTGGGTGGTTTTTTTTTATGTACGTGTGTGTGTGGACATGTGTATATATGTTTGTTTGTTTTCAAACCAAAATGAATGGACAATGGGACGTATCCGAGTTGCATAAAGCTAGAAAAATAGATAAAAAATCATTATAATTACAAAATTAAGTTTCTTTATTTATTTCTTTTTGTGCAACGTCTTTTATTATTCTAACCATACAAAATTATAAATAAAAAAAAACAATACGTATATAAATTTAAAAATAAGTATATAGTCATTTTCTTTTATATACATATATATAACCTATCGCCTATAAGCAAAGCATGGGTTTGACAGTAGTACATCACTACCATAAACTGTACTTTAGAAATAATAGATACATACTCCGGCTTTAAGAAGTTCAAGCTTTCGCTGCTCCTTTAGAGCTCTCTTTGCTAGAACAGCATCTTCAATAGCTTGCCTTGCTAAACGTTGCATCTCTGATAATCTTCTAGCTCGTTGTTCTTTTACTTCTTCCTAATAAAACACTACTACTCTATTTGCTTGTGTGTGTATGTGTGCATGTTTGTTACACTTTCACAAAGAAATGGCTGAACAGATTTGGATAAAATTATAGATAAAATTATAGGTACAGAGATTGAAGATGAGCTAGAAAAAACGAGTAAAGAGTTAATAGTAAGAGTTAAGGTGGCACCTATATACTCGTATTAGTATAATATTTTGATGCCTCTTTGCTCTAGTACCCAGTACGTACGGCTGCAGATTGAGTGGCTCTGATAATATAGATATATAGACTTATAAAAATTACAAGGTTTTTCAAATATGCACTCAAAGACTAATTAAACGTAAGCTTTTAAGAAACAATGGGCGTACCACATCCTCTTCCTAAAAATGATAGGTATATTTTGGAAATTTAATGTCACCACCATACAACGCACCTGAACGAAGTAAATCGCTAATATTTTATAATGTCATTGTATTTTAAATCGGGTTTGCCAGTGCATTAATATATTAAACCATCGTAATACAACCAATAAATTATTAGGGCAACACTTCAATGGTTAGTAGTAAAATTTCTTAAGCTTAGGCACCCTTGCTTGATTATTCACCTTAATTCTATTTCTAAAACAAAAGTAGCTTAAGTTATTCCTTATAACATCAACTATCGGCCAGTGAAAGTGCTATCAAAATCGGTCCAGCCGTTTCTGAGATAAGCCGGAACAAACGGACAGACGGACAGAGAAAAAAAAATTTTTTTTTCATATAAGTACTGTATATACTTTCATATTTATTGAGTAAAAAGCTGTTATTTTGACATTACAAACAGACACCTCATTTTTTTTTATTTGTATAGATTATTTTATCGATGATCTTATATATATTTTTTAACTAAATACAGCTTTTAAACATAATTTATTAAAAATACTTACTCTTTTCCTCAACTTATCTTCCCGACGTTTTTTCCAAACATCCTCCCTAGTTGGACTATAAGTCTTGTACATATCAAATGCAGTTTTATTACTCTGGCTATCCGAAGATTTGTTTTCATCCAATGATGGGATTTCTTCATATAGAATTTTACGTACCAAAGCTAAAGAAAAAAATGAGACGTATTAATAATCTTAATAGTAATAATTTGTTTCGATTTCTCACAAATCACAATACAATATTCATATTACAAATCAAAGTCCCCGCTGAGTTTACGTTTGAATTAAACGATCTAATCCCAGAATAAATATACTAAACGGATTTTGATATGGTTTTCATCATTAGAAAGAGAGATTATGTATTTGTGTATGTTACGGATTTTGATGAAATTTTGCAGATACTTAAGTGTTAGCTAATTTCAAAAAATATAATATATTCAGTGCCGGATTTGACCTTGGCGCCGCCCCTGGCCACTGTAAAAACTGTAAAAACCACCCTATTATCAAAATTTTGAATAAAATGTTGAAAGTTAAAAAAAATTTTTTTTTTGAGAAAATGCAAAAATAATATTTATAAATGATATCACTTTTTCGAAAAATGTACCTAGTTAATCTTTGTTTATTTTTCATGTTTAGGAAAATAAAAAAAAGCATTTTCGATTACGCGAACAACATTTTTTTCCGCCCTCCAAATTTTGTCGCCCAAAATAATTTGCCGCCCTGGCACTAGCCCCGAGTGCCCCTAGTGTAAATCCAGCGCTGAATATATTACTAGCGACTCAACCTCGCTTCGCTCAGGTTCGTCCGTGGGTTGTGGATTGTATTATAACGTGTTTCCTCATGGAAATAAGATAATCTCCCGTAGTAAAAAGTAGCCTATGTGCCTATGAAGTGTCATAGATCGCATATATAGATAGTGATCTAGCCCTCACTAATACAATAAAAATTACGCCAATCCGTCGTTGCGTGTCGATGTGAAAGAAGGACAAACAAACAAACACGACAAACACTTTCACATTTATTAGGTACGTTAAAACGGATAGTAATGGATATGTATTTATTCTATGACATAACGATTGAATTTATCATTTCAATACAATTTTCTTCTTCTAGCATGACGTATTTTCTAAGATCCATGAATAATTACTTAACTAAAGGCTTTATATCACGTGAGTGAAGCCTACTAACTAGAATAACTTTGATACAAAATACTAACAAACAAAATGCTTATCCAAATCGAGCAATCTAAAACATATAGCTAGCGCTGGACCAGAAAGTAACATATATAGAGATGCTTCATTTAGGGGAGCATCGCCTGCATAAAACACATCTTCCGCCATTTCCTTAGTCAAATATATATCTTCACGACCAATCATTATTATATCTGTTGAAGAAAATTAACGTCGGTTTGTTACAGGTAGTGTTGGAACTGCTGAACCTATTTAAATGCATGTTGCATTGGTATAATAGCTTATATCTATGTATGCAGATAAGTAATGGATTTTAATCCCGGGTTAGGCTTAAATAGTTACTGTTTTTTGTGTTACGAAGCACTCAGTAGTAGTTATAAATAATTAGATTATTTTGGTTTTCTTTTCTAAATATTATTGAACACTTCATAATTTTTTTTTTGTTTTTCTTCTCTACAAAATAAGCGGTAAAACCTAGCAAACTGATCGAAACATTAAAGTAAAAATCGTTAGGATTTAACGAAGTTAGGACCCAAATTAAGCTTTAAAATATTGATGAAATCTAAATCATTTTATTGTTTTAATAGCTTAAATCTATTTTAAACTGTCGAGTAGATTTTATATAAAACTATGTTTTCGGATTCTTTCACGGATTTATTTTGATTTTTGGTTCCCGATGTTTCGTCTCTCTCTCTCTATCTCGAAAATATGGTTTTATTTAAAACTAGCAGAAACCGCAGCTTCGCTCGCGCTAAAACTAAATTTATATATAACTAAATATTTTTCTGGATTGTATTATAACGTGTATTCCCGTGGGAATTCGATAATCTCCCGCTGTGAAAAGTAGCCTATGTCACTCTCCCGCCCTCCAACTATCTCCACACAAAAAATCACGCCAATCCATCACTGCTTTTCGACGTGAAAGAAGGACAAATAAAAAAACAAACAAACAAACACACACACACAGTTTCACATTTATAATATTAGTATGGACATGGATGTCAAATATTCGCGTATTCTACAAAAGTATTAAGTCCAGTACACGTATTAGTCTTTCTATCTACTCTCGTACAAAGCACACTTCCACACACCTAGGTGAAGTATCTAGATAATGTAATATATACGTCTCTTGCAGCTTAAAAATGCTTTTAAGAAATACAAAATGTGAACAAAGGATACCTTATCTCTTTAAGCGAACTCTTCCAGTAATCCTTTGAATGTGAGGAAATGAAACAAGATAATACAGCAAAGGTATTAAATATAAGAATTAGCCCATTGACACGAAATACTAAAAAGTTTTTGTTTTACTTTTACTTTTTATTTTACTTACTCCTTCAAGTAAATAAAATATACATTATACACACATACAAACTTTCGTATTTATGTATAACTAGCGGCCCAGGGTTCGTCGCTAATGAAAAATAAAAACCAATCTATCCCACGGGAACCGTACATTTTTCCGGGATAATATGTACTATTCCAGACTATAATCTATATCTACGCCTTTCATCCAGATCCGTTCAACCGTTCTGGCGTGATTAAGTAACAAACATCCATCTATCCAAACTTTCGCATTTATATTAGTAAGGTAGTAGTCCAAATAATTTCTATTTCTTAAGTTTTCTCAATAACTATTTAGTTAAAAAGTGAAAGGTAGTAGACTCATGACGTTCAGTAAAAAATTGTAATAATTTAATGCTGAATAAAATATTTTGATTTGATTTGAACACTTAACTGTTTTCATCCCATCGTTCGTACAATTCCGGGTGCGCGCGGACAGCGTGAGGCCAGTATAGCACGAAGTTAAGATGGTGTAAATGCGGCACCATTAACTCAGCTCTGTGGCGCTTTCGGGCTATTTGGCGTTGTTTTCGTTGAAATTCAAAGGATTCTTCATCTTTTTGTTTTTCTAGTGCACGTTTCTTATGCCATTCCTTATAAATAAATAAATGTATTAAGACATTAATACACAGCACCATCTAGTTCCTTTGTAAGACACGAGGCTTGTGTTGTGGATGCCAGATAGTTGATACACTACACATATATAACTTTAAATACATACATATAAAAAATATAAACACCCAAGACTGGAGTACAAACATTCGTGCTTATCACACAAATGAATGCCCCCAGTAGAAATCGAACCCGCGACCGTTGGCACAGCAAGTAGAGTACACTACAAACTGAACCAAAAGTATATAAATTTTTAGAAAATTAAAAAAAAATATGTTAATTTCTGTGATCTATATGAAAATAAACAGTGGATAAAGTTTGAGAAATCTCAATACATAATTTAAATGGTGTTACCAATAAATTCAATAATTCGTAACCCTATTGCTAGAACATTCTATAAACTCTAGCAAGTAATATAATATCCAAGTCCAACAAAATATGTATTAATGTGCCAGGATTTCTAAGGTTTCACTATATCGAAAATGTCGGGCCTGAATTACTGGCTATTATCTTCATACCAAAATTTATATAAATCGATTCAGTAGTTCCAGAGATTACTTCCTATAAACAAATTCACAAACTTTACCTCTTTATAATTTATAATTTATAATATTAGTATAGATAACAACACATAGTTTAAACGATAAATAATGTAAATCTTTTCTGTAGACCTTTTTAAGAACTACATTTTTTTAGTACATTGTTTTGATATACGGGATCTCTTAAGGTTTAGCCAGCGGATGGTTTTTAAGGAGAACTTGATAAAACCAGTTTTTGTGTATTCCCATGGGAAAGAAAGATTTTCCTGAAGTAAAAGGTATCCTAAATGTTGACTCGAGTAATAAAGTTATCATTTCACCACGTTGAAATCGGTTTATCACTTTTTGCGTAAAACGCGCACACACAAACAGACAAACAGAAAAAAAATTAATAACTATTGTTTTGGGGTCTATATTGTGTATAATACTTCGTAGTCATTGTTTTTAAAAAAATATTTCATGTACAGATTTTGCTAAGTTACTGCTTTATTATAGTAATTGATTATTATAGTATAGATAACATAATATTATTCTAGTACTAAATTATTTGCTAATAAGCTTAGCAAATACCAAATCCCTAATATTATGCACATCATCAATCAGTTACTTAAGTACCTACTAAATAAATAATCAATACTAATATTATAAAGAGACAGAGTTAGTAAATTGTTTGTTTGTTTGTTTGAACGCGCTAATCTCAGGAACTACTAATGCGAATAGAAAAATTCTTTTTGCATTAGATAGCCCGTTCATTGATAAAGGCTATATACGCTATATATCATCATGCTACTACGCACAGAGCAGTAATGTCAACAGCACAAATGTCAACAAATCGGGCAGACTTCCATACATTATTGTAAAACTGATGTTTATATTTATTCAATTTATTTTTAATATTATTCAAACAAATTTAACGCGGGTAAAATTATTGTACAAATAAATATGTAGTTAAAATATGTAATTTATACCTACAATACAATATAATTTAACAAAATAACAAACGCTAGAGTAATTGTAAACGGTGTGGCAAGCACTGGCCTTGGATTGTCTTTTTTAATGTTTTTGGTGAGGATGATCTATAGCATTCGACTTGCGGGTTGCAGTCGCAATCCCGCAGGCGGCGCTACTCGCCCGTATTCTAATTGGCGCGGTTATACCGACAATTGTTATGCAATAAAAATAATAAATTAATATAGTCTAATAAATAAGCTTTCTTTATCCTATTTTTATTTTATTTTTGTTATAATGTATATAAATAGGCTTCAAAGCTAACTCATGTTCAATAACGTAATTTTGACTCAATGCGTTACTACAATTCAACGCCACAATACTCGAAAGTTTTTGATATAAATGTATAAGTATTATACATTTTTTAAATGCTTATAATCTCCTCTTAACGTTTCGTAATTAGTATTATATATATTAGTTTGATAAAGTAAAATTAACCAATATAGTTTAATATGGTATATTTTTAGGGTTAATTTTTTTTAAAGAGACTTTTACCCATTACCGCTGCTTGCCGCTGTCGAGATATTTATTGTATTAAGATCTTTATATATTAGCTAACGCAAGGAGAAAAAAAAGAATTGCACATATTTGCACCTTTTTGTCACGGTGTCAAAACATATCGCGAGGTAAAAATCATTATTTTTTTAATTTCTTTTTATTTCTCATAAAATCATTTGTTATCTATTAAGGTCAAATTGATAAAAAGTTCATTACAGTGATGAGTAATATTAATGATATGAATGCATGTATTTTTTTAAGATTTATTTCTTAAATTAATTAATAAACAGAATTTTTAAAAATCAAAATTATTTCAATTAAACTTTGTACATACAAGTATATGTGTGCAAAATTACAGCTCATTTAGTTTTGAAACAACTGAGATACGGAGTTTTGAGACGAAACATACGCGATTTTCCCATAGTGCGGCGGGCACTGTTTTTTTCTCCCGACTCATATTGCTCTCCTAACGCATACTTATCCACGGTGAAGTACTAGTGAGCTGTCATGGTGGCCACCAAGAAGACCAGCGAGCTGCACCAGGTACGCGACTTGCTTTTATCCCGCATAGTTGTAAGCTATTACATCATCCACCAGATACGTTTTTAAGGATTTTTAAGGACAGTGTTGGGTCTACGCATCTCCACGCGCTGGACCGTAACTTTTGTTCCCACACCGCAAAGAGGGCACGGCTATTAACACGCCTGCCACTCCAGTAAAAAAGATATTTAATAGCATGTACGTGTTTTTTAAGGTTCCGTACCCTAAGGGTAATAACCGGTTCCTAATTACTAAGCCTCCCGCTGTCCATCCATCTGTCGGTCAGCGGGCTGTATCTCATAAACCGTATAAGTTGGAATTTTCACAGAGTGTGCATTTCTACGAGTATTTCTAACAATAAATAATAAAAAAAACCAAGATGGCAAATTTCAAAAAGGGCGCCATGCAACAAAAAAAAAGTCCTTAATGTTATATTATCTTGTACGATGATACGAAACCCTTCGTGTGCGAAACCGACTTGCACTTGACCGGTTTTATACTTACAATGTAATATATGTAATGATAAATTATTTGTTGTTAAGAACAAATAAAATAGGAAGTGATAAACTAGATGAACATGAAAAAATATATTAAAATGACATGTTTATTGTTAGCTCGTACGAATATTTATGATACACGAGTAGCCTCCGTTGGGAGAACTAACCCTCCCTCTCGACCCTCTATATCGAATATCTAATTAATGATGATAATCTACCTTGTTTAATTTAGACGTGAGCTGTAGCTAACATACTTTATTATAGCTGGATCTGTGATGAATATATGACGTATTGGCAGTCATTTTAAACTAGTAATTCCATCTTTAACGTCGATTTTGTGTTTGTTTTTAATTCAGAACAAAAAATACCAAAAAATCTGTATAAATATTATAAATGTGAAAGTTTGTGAGGATGGATGGATGTTTGTTACTCTTTCACGCCAGCACGGTTAAACGGATCTGGATGAAATTTGGCACAGAAATAGATTAATTATAGTCTGGAATAACACAGACTACTTTTTATCCCGGAAAAATATACGGTTCCCGTGGGATATATATGTTTTCGTTTTTCTATTTATATAGATATCGCGTAGAAAACAATTTTTTTTTTAAACTTTTTAGTTTGGACCTTGCCAAATAAGAAAGGAATAATACACAGCAATCACGCTTTATCTAAAATACTACAAACATTTTTTAAAGTGCCGAAAGTGACATTTTCTTTACCCTACGTATTCCTGATATAAAGAATGTGGTTTTGAAGCCATTAACATTAGAATTGAATTGAAGCATGTGTCTGTCTTTATGACTGTTGGTTTCTTCGCAGTTTTTGATGCTTTTTTGGTACACAGTTTGTTTGTTTATCCCATCCTACTAATATTTTATATTATAAAAGCGAAAATTTGTCGTATCGATGTCGGACGTAAGTTTGTTACTCTTTCACACAAAAACTATTGAACGGATTTTAATAAAACTTTATAGAAAAATAACTTATACATAATAAGTAATAAACACATATGCTACCATATTTTATAAAGATATAATATACATAGAAGTCAGTGGTAGCCCAGTCGTAACGCGCTCGCTTGGGAAACCGAGTGAAGCGGGTTCAAATCCCGGGTCTCGCAACTCTGATATTTTCATGTGCAAATTATTTCCAACATGATTACCACTTGTCTTAACGGTGAAGGAAAACATCGTGAGGAAACCTGCATGTCTGAGAGAACCTAGCAATTTTTCGAAAGACATGTGAAGTCCGCCAACCCACACTTGGCCAGCCTGGTGGACTATTGCCTGATCCTTCTCGTATTGAAGGGGGCCCATGCCCAGCAGTGGGATATTAAAAAGGGCTGAATATAATAATATGTAATAAGTGTAAAGCCACGGGAAAACGCTAGTAGAAAGACAATTTTGCGTACGATTACATAAAATAAAAGGATTCTCGTGAAACAGAGATTATTTTATTAGCATTAACAAGCAAGCTTACTTCGCGTTATTTAAGTCAACGTTTAAAATTAATTAGATACTTACGTCACTTTAAATATTACGATTTCAATTTTAATTATAGTACACTATACAATTTGTACATGTTTTAAAAATATAGATAACTAGCGGCTCCCCCTTGCTTCGTTCGGGTTCACCACTAGAAAAACAAAAACAAATCTATCCCTCGGGAACCGTATATTTTCCGGAATAAAAAGTAGCGTATGTGTTATTCTAGACTACAATCTATATCTGTGCCAAATTTCATGTAGATCTGTTCAGCTGTTCTGGCGTGAAAGAGTAACAAGCATCCATACATACTCACAAATTTTCAATTTATTTATTCAAGGAATTCTTAATTATTGTGTTATTATTTCTTATTGTTTAATTTGTCAAGAGCGAAATCATCGTTACAAAAACATTTTTATATGAACAAGTAGGTAATATGATTTTAAAAGTCAAACGTGAGTCTAAAACTTAGCTGACTATAATCTATTTACCTGTTCTTCCAGCGACGCCTCATCTAATTCAAAAGTTTCTCGGTCAACTCTATTACCTTCTTGCTCTAATTTAAAGTATTCTATTTCTTTTTTCGCAACTTCAGCAAAGTTAATATAGTCTACGCCACGAAATACCCTTGTTATTTTGTGATTCTATAAAAAATACATTATATCTATACATATTATAATAAAATTCTGAGTCGAATCTATACATTTAATGTTTTTTGGAAAATCTTATTGAAATAGTAATTATGATCGATACAGAAGCAGAATCTATAGTTTTAAGATTTTTTTGTCTGTCGGTCTGGGAACGCATCACGGGAAAACACTGGACAGATTTTAATGAAATTTGGTATGATGTCTGGTTATCCGGGTCAACATATAAGATACTTTTTACTGCGGGAAATTTTCTAATCTCTGAGAAATCTATACTAAACGTTTAATGTAACTAGAGACAAACCCGAAGCGAGGGTGAGTCGCTAGTTATAAAATAAAACTATATTTTCGGATTTTTTCGTGGACTTATTTTGGTATTTGTTTTGAATGCTTTACAGCAATCGTGGTTGCGGGAGAAACTAAGGTTTTAGACGTCTCAAAGGTCGTTATATACTTGTCACAAACATTATAATTAAACCTATTAAGAATAACAAAACAATATGTATGTACCTACTCAATTGTAAATAAAAATAAGTTAATCAGTAATATATAAGAAGCCATAAGGACTTGAAAATAAAAATAATTGCAAAGTCTAATAAAAAATAATTGGATTAAATACTTACATAAATAAATAAGAATAAGGGTTCACTCTGGTTTTGAAAGCGACTCAACGACTTAATTTCATCGACTCGTACCTAGAAATAAAATATGAGATAGGTACTCGTATATTATGTCTACTAAATTAAAAACTTTTCAAAGTAAATAATTTTATGTTCAGTGAAAATCTATACATATAATAAAATTGTAACTAAGCCGAATCTGTACATTAAATATTTTTTGGAAAATCTTATTAAAATAAACATTATTAACGACACAGAGACCGAATCTATAGTTTTTAGAATTTTGGTCTGTCTGTTTGTCTGTTACCGCATCACAGAAAAACGACAGGAGGGATTTTGATGAAATTTGGTATGGTGATAGCTGGTTATCCGGGTCAACATATAGGATACTTTTTACCGCGGGAAAATGTCTCATTTCTGAGAAAAAATACAAAAACTGCAATGTAAGAGTATACTAATATGTAAAACCTAAGAATTTTGTTTTTGGTCATCTGAACGCGGGCGGAGCCGCCGGCAATGCTAGTTTCATTATCTAAATCTCTATGTTATTCATGTTAATACGAATTACTAAATTAACTTTTCCCATTCATAATAACATGTTACTTACTCGCAATAAAACTACTTTTCCATCTCCCCAATCGAGTTTTATTCTGACGAATAAATGATCCAACGCTGTACAGGGTCCAGCAAATGATGAAAATAGATTGACACCTATAACAATGAAGATCTTATTAGATATGAATGTAAATACTTATAGATAGAATTTTAATTTATTGTATTTTGCGCCACACATTTTTTCATATCGGAAGCTTTTAGAGGGAACATTTTTTAGATTTACACAGGAAAATCACAAATATTTACAGATTTAAATCGCAAAATGTTAATAAATGATAGCTTAGCTTCCCTAGATTAGCTTTCTATTTATTGTAAAAACCATAATATGAAAATCCAATAGTTTATGAGATAAGAACGAATAAACACAAAGTCGCGACATGGGACTTTATAATAGAATAGATGTTGAAAAGTTCAAAACCTAGTTTTCTTAGTGTTTCACCGGCAGTTGGCATTAGAAATAACTTAACTAATCAACATAGCAAGCATAATTAGCTTGCTGAAGTGTGTCGCTCGTCTCTCCAGAGCTACAGATGGTCCATGGATCCTACATTGTGCTCGAGTGAAGATTGCGTTAGGACATGCATAGGATAGTGTCCTGCAGCACGATGGACCGACGGACAACTTAAGAAAGGTGTATGGTGGACTCAGAAGGTGTACCATGCGATTTGCTCCTAGTAGGTGCTTCTCTATAGCAGAATGGACCGCGGAAACAACCCCTTGGTTGTTTTGGCTCAGTAGGTCGGCCGTTGAATCGTAATGGTTGAATGCGATAGTAAAAAAGTTCTGTTGGGTTTCAGTGGATAATACTGGCATATCTGCCAGTGAGCCTCCACTTGTAGGTATGTATGAAGTAAAATGCGTTAATACATTTTTAAACATAAAAAAGCAAACGCTCAAATTTTATACCGCCTGTAAATATTTGAGTGTATGTTTTTATATTTGTTAGATACGCTATGTCTTTAAGTCAATCTATTAATGAATGAGTTAAACCTTAATAATGAAAATTACGTAATGATAATCTAATAATAACTTAATGAAACCATTTTTTTTTCTAAAATTTCTACCTAAAGCTCTTTATTTTCTCAATTACGATTATATCGCTGATTCTGTACATTGTACTAGCTTTATAATTATTAAGTTGACTTACAAATTAGTCTGTCCAAATTATGCTCGAGAATATATTCAAATTCATGTTCGTTATTTATATCTACAAATACCTCTATTTTCTTTTTAGCCATTTTTATGTAAGTACAATTTGTAGAATACAAATTTAATATATTTTTATAATCTGTAAGGCCATGGTAAAAGAAAAATACTTTTTATGAATAATTAAACAGTCTAGGTACTCTAAATAGCCTTTTTTCTTATCTCCTTTGAGATATGTTTCTCTTTTTCATAAAAAAAATACATAAGCAATTTTACATCATGTACTTCATTAGATATAAAAGTATCTAAAATGTAAAATATGATTACAATTTTTCGTTTCAGGTAATTGTATTTTTACTAATATGTCGACATGTTGGACAAAGTGTAATAATAATAAAGCACTATAATACTTCTAAATATAATATCTAATAATTCATATGTTATTAATAAGCATTACATTTTTTAATCACGTTTCAATTTTCACGTTGAAACAGAGTGATGGATTGACGTGATTTTTGTATGCAGATATTTGGAGGGCTGGAGAGTGATATAGACTTATTACCGCGGGAGATTATAATATATAGTTTATCTATTCCATAATAACCTTAAAACGTACCTAAGATCAAACCGCACAGAGGTTGAGTCTCCAGAAGAGTTATAATATATTAGGTTAAATCACAGATCACATAATAAGTACTATACTAGTAGTTTATATATAATAATAATATTATGTTATTTGCTTACGGTGGACCGTAGTATTTTTATTTCACAATTTAAGTATAACTGTGACATCTATGTAACAAGTATGAAACTAAATACTAATCGTCAGACATATTTGCTTGTAGTAGCAGCAGTTGACATGACAGACGACTAGATGTCAGTGTTAATAATAGTAAATTTTAAATATTATTTGTACAACTTATTATGATAGTGGATTTTTAAAATAATAAATAAAAATCTCATTTAAGCCACATCTAGTTTCGAATCGATAAATTCATTATTGTTTATCATTTTTTATTTCAGAAATATATAAAAAAACTAAAAAAATATATTTGTAATGGCAATAATAAGTAAGATTGTCAAACGGCCATATTGAAAATTTTAGTGATTCGGGAATTATCGTTTGCGATGGAGTCATATTTTTGCGTAATAAAATCCGATTGTAACACTGTTGGAAATTTATTGAAATTATGTCATTTGTGTATCTCGTCTCAATTCGGTCGTGGTCATTGCAGAAAAGTCTCGATCGTTTGACAAAATTCGTCTGAGAATTGTTATTATTAGTAAGATTGTCGATACGGGAGACATCTTGTGTTGAAAAAGTTGCAAGTTGGTCGACTTGTCTGATTTTGTCTTTCACGTGAAAAGTTTGCAAAATTAGATCGGTGCTAGAAAGTCCACAAACATGGAGGTTTCATGGGGTAAATATTCCATTTTTTCCTTATTGATACATTGTTCTCAGTATATAGAGATGATTTGACCTTGTTACGTGTGGTTTTACAGATGCAGATAACTTCGAACCGAAACTTCCGACCACGTTGACATCTTCCAATAGATGGGAGGGCGAGGACGAGGAAGAAGCTGTGAAGGTAATGCGAATAGCTGCCAATTTATTTGTTGAATCTTTGTTCAAGATTCAAGTATGTCAAAGTCTATAGTAGAAATATTTTTAAAATACATAACCTCAATGGTGCATACGTGTTGACGTCAGCTCGTTTTACAGGACAGCTGGGAAGACGAAGAAGAAGAAAAGAAAGATGAAGAGAAAAAGGAAGTTGCCCCTCCACAACCGAAGCCTAAAAAGAAAATACAAGATAAAATTGCTGAAAAAGAGGTAGGTTCTTGTTTTAAAATGTCAATGTCACTATCTTGTGAAGTTCCTCAAACATTTCAACATGACTAACTTTTGTGATGATAATGTACATATCAGATCTTTATGTGTAATTAGGAATTATTATTTTACAATTACAACAAATACTGCTAATTGATTACAGAGTTATCTATTACTGTTATATTATGATGATATGATTTTAACATTTTTCCCATAATATTATGTACATTACAAAGTATAGATTCTTATTTGAATTATATAAATAGGTTTCTTATAAGAAGTTACACATTGTAATTAGAATGCTAACATATATCCTTTATGATATCTAGCTATAATATAATGATTGTATTTTTCGTTTGAATTTATTGATTAATCATAATTGATTACATCTTAGCTACAGGTTACATTGTAATCTTCCTAAGTAAATGTAGTTTTTTCTTTGTTTGGTTACATGTTGATTCTTAAATTTGTATATAGACTGTTTTAAATATGTGTTATAAATTTGAGGGAAATTTAGCTTCAACATAGCTTTTTTATCTAGGGTACCACATAAATATTTTTTTATTGTGATACCTACAATTTTATCAGAGCCATGGGTTAAAATAAGTAACTTAAAGTTCTTTAGTTCAAAAGATATTTATATATTTCTACTATGTACAATGCACATTCATATTGTATAATATAATAAGGTCAAATAAAAATGGATACATGGTCTATGTGTTATTCCAGTCTATAATCTATCTCTGTGCCAAATTTCATCCAGATCCGTTCCGTCTTTCTGGCGTGAAAGAGTTACAAACATCCATACTCACAAACTTTCACATTAATAATATTTATACAGAAGAAAGCCACATTCGGTTTTTTCACTAATTTCCAATTATATCATACTTTTCCAAATTTTTTCCTTATAAACCTTAATTGCATTAGTAAGAACATTTAAAAATCTTTTTATATCAATTATAATGTAATTTATGCTCAAAGCGTGACAAATTAATATTTGTGGTTTCTGGTCTAGCTGTTTTATAGTTTTATTTAAATAAAATTCAAGCATCAATCAAGATTTTTATTCAACTAATTAATATTATTATACAAAATTCTCTCATAGTCCATGTCGGACTACAATAATTATAAATGTGAAAGTTTGTATGTGGTGTGTGTGTGTATGTTTGTTACACTTTCACCCAGAAATGGCTGAACAGATTAGGATGAAATTTAATACACAGACCATCACCTGAAATAATACATAAGCTACCGTTAGTAATATAATTTTCTAAAATGTGGCACTGCTTGTATAATATATAATATTATTAGCAACTTACCCTTGTTTTACTTGGGTGCATATGTATAAGTATGTATACCTAAGTGTCTTTTAGCCATACATTTTAGCCAACCTGTTTAAACAGCGATAGTGCAACTTGTTTACAAGTTTTTTCCTACTGTAATGAAAGTTTTCTGGCTGAATCTTATAGAACTCTGCGATTAATAAAACTAATTTTCAGAATCGGATCAATAATTTCAGAGACATCCTACATCCAAAGTTTACATCTTTATAATAAAAAAAAAAACAAAAACAAATCTATCTCTTGGGAACCGTATATTTTTCCGGGATAAAAAGTATGTGTTATTCCAGACTATAATCTATCTCTGTGCCAAATTTCATCCAGATCCTTTCAGCCGTTCTGGCGTGAAAGAGTAACAAACATACAGCCATAGATACATTCTTACAAACTTTCGTGTTTATAATATTAGCAGTATTATAAACACTAGTGTCTCACCCTCGCCCCTCTCGAGTTCGTCCCTAGGTTTTAACGGTTGGTATGGAATCTATATCATAGTATATACCTAGTCTATCTGTACACTATATATTTGTATATATACATAGGTATGATGAGATGTTGTAGGTTGTATTATAACGTATTTTCCTGTGGGAAAGAAGTAATTTCCCGTAGTAAAATGTAGCCTATGTGGCGTGATTTGTGTGGAAATAGTTGGAGGGATCCAGACAAATCACGCCAATCCGTCACTGTTTCGACGTGAAGGAAGGACAAACAAACACACTTTAACATTTATAATATTAAATATGGATTTTAGATAAAAAGGTACCTATAGAGTCGTTAGTATCTAAAATAAACTCATATCATTCATATCAGATCATTTTAGTTTCTAAACAAATAAAATGAAAAGGAAAATTCATTTCTATAATTAGATTTTGTTTTCCAATCTCGAAAACATCTCGTAACCATATGAAATTTATTGTTAAAATCACTTATTAATCTGTTGTTGTTACCAGATATAACCCCCAATTAAGATGTTAATTTAAGAATTAATAAAATAACAAGAAGTTCTTACTTTAGCCAAATTTTTTTCGAGTTTATGTTACACTATATCTTTGCTGATGCAAACCGGGTTTAATTATTATTCTTCTTTTATTTAAAAGGCTACATCTCAAATTATCTTGACAATCTATATATCTTAAGGATTCTTTAGGTGATCTGATGTTAGGTAATCATCTACATTAAATAACTATAAATCTTATAGTATTAATACTTTGGATGTAAAATGATTTTTACTTTAAATTTATAGGAAACCATAGGTATAATTTTTAATATATGTTGTGACATATATAAAAGCCAATATAAAAATACACTCGAATTGAAGGCGTCTTACACTTATTTCTCCTTTTACTTTTAACTAGCGACTCACCATCCAGCTATTACAGACTAATCTATTTCTGTGCCAAATTTCATCCAGATCCGTTTAGCCTTTATGGCTTAAAAGAGTAACAAGCCATCCATCCATCATCCATCCATCCTCACAAACTTTCACATTTATAATATTAGTAAGATTATTATTATTAATTTAGTATAAGTTGTTTTTTATTTTTTACAGCGATTAGAGCGTGAAAAGGCAGAATGTATAGAGAAGGAAGAAGAGATGACGCCAGAAGAGAAACTCGCTGAGAAACTGCGTCGACAAAAGTTGCAAGAAGAGTCTGATCTTCGGCTTGCTTTGGAGACTTTTGGTAAGTTTTATATGCACTGGTCCCCATTCTATATAAAAAATAGTATTTTCACAATTTTAGTGATTTTATCAAAATTAGCACCGTAAAGTAATAAAATATTTTAAAGGTTTTCATTCTTCTAGAAAAATAAAGAAACTAAAGAAAAGATACTTATTAAATTTAACAATCAGGTATCGCTAGTTCAAGCGCGTCTTCATCGTCCAATTTGGTAGGTTATGTGACAACTAACGTCAATAAATTCTCACTGATGGGCAGGGGCACGGGCGTCCCTTCTATACGAGGGGGAACAGCTCATAGTCCACCAAGCTGGCAGCGAGTTGGTGAACTTGAGATTTCCTGATTATGTTTTCAAGTGATATTCACAGAGATAAGAGTAGCGTGACAAGGATTTGAGTCCGCTTCCCTTGGTTTCCTAAGCGAGCTCCTTACCACTGGGCTACCACTGCCTTATAAAAGTTCAAATATTAAAACAAAAATATTTTAAGAATGGAATTTTACCCGTTGTCGTGTTTTATTCTTTAAATGCATGTCTTGATTATCATTTTTGAAGTGAAACTTCTTTAGAATCGTTGTTATTTGAAACTCGATGAAACGGAAATGCGGCACGAGAAAGAGACAAACACATAAATATACAGGATTAAGCCGACGAGAGAATGAGATAGAATACATTACACGGGAAGTAAAAAAAATACTGAATAATATGTTATTATGTAAATACTAGCATTGCCCGCGGCTCCGCCCGCGTTCAGATAACCAAAAACCAAATTCTTAGGTTTTACATAGGTATCGGTATACTCTCTTACATTGCAGTTTTTGTATTTTTTCTCAGAAATGAGACATTTTCCCGCAGTAAAAAATATCCTATATGTTGACAAAATCCCTAAAATAGATTCGGCCTCTGTATCGATAATAATGTTTATTTCAATAAGATTCTCCAAAAAATATTTAATGTACAGATTCGGCTTAGTTACAATTTTATTATTCGTACTCGTATAGGAAAGCTATTATGACTAATTGTTGCCATGGTAACTAACCGTTGTTGTTGTCTGATAAATCTATATAAATAAAAATGAATGTTACTAAGCTAAGCGCACAACTCGAGAACGGCTCGACCAATTCAGATTATTTTTTCGTATGTTCCTTAAGATACACGGAAAATTTTAATAAAGAGAAAAAATGTAAAATAAGATAAATATATATATATATATATATATATATATATATATATATATATATATATATCCTGTAACAAAGTGTGTTAGTTACACCATTTATAACTCAAGAACTGCTGGACCAATTTTATATTTGATTTTTTGGATTTCTCTTAGTCCGGAATAGGATAATAAGTATTAAAACATCAGAAAAATTAACGAAAATAAAAATTATATGGCTAACACTGGCTAATAACTATTTATAATATCTATTTACAACGTAGCTAGCGACGAACCCGAGCAAAGCGAGGGTGAGCCGCTAGTATATAATATTATATTCTTTCTGTATATGATATTGTATAAATATATGATTGTAATATGTCTAATGTACCTACGTTATTTAATTATTGATTTGTTTTTATTTAATTGCAGTATTTGCCAAAGAAGTTTTACTTCTACCGTGAATGAATTGTGTACACACACACTTTTAATATTTTTTTTATTTTCAAGGTATATCTGAAGGGGGCAGTGGCAAGCTAGACAGTTTTAATCCAACGAATAAGGCAGAGTTCATAGAGTTTGCCGATCTTCTCTGCAAAAAGATCAACATATATAAAGGAAAGGAGGATTTTCCTGGCTTTGTTGATGATCTCGTGAAAAATATTGTAGTACAAAGTGAGTGTTCAAGGTTTTAACACGCTTTTATTATCTTCACCTGTATCTATCTACAAATATTAACAAATTAATATGTTGGGACATTAACACAGCACCCTACGCTACAATGCTTGTGTTATGGATACCAGATAGTTGATACACTACATGTTATAACTTTAAATACATATATATTATAAATATAAACACCCCATGACTGGAGTACAAACATTCGGGCTCATCGCACAAATGAATGCACCCAGCGGAACTCGAACCGGCGACCTATGGCACAGAAAGTAGGATCACTACAAATTGAGACAAACGCGTCGTCAATCTATGTAACGGCATCTATAACATGACTTTTACCCACTTCAAAACTCGAGATTAACTTGAAATTTAGCACACTTATCAAGGACAGATCTCAATACAATTGTTTGTTTGAAAAATAAAAATGAATTTATTAAAAAATAATAATTAAAAAGTAAAAAAACACGCTTTTATAGCAGATCAAAGTGAAAAATGTGAATTAAATTATAGTTTAAAAAAGACGCTTTGCTGTTGAACCGAACGAACTAAGAAGTAAAAAATAATTCTTAGAAATTTAGTGCATTAGACATTTATGTGTGTTCAAAAAATCAAAACGCAACCTCTTCAGCTTTACGTACTTTTGTTTGTTTGTAAAGATATAATATCTAATATGTATATGATTAATATTTTTCCAGTGGCTTCTGCTGACATTAAGAGGATAAAAATGACCGTTGATAATCTATACATTGAAAAACAAAAGGCGGAGAAGAATGAAAAGTCAAAGAAACCCAACAAAGGCAAGGGCAAAGCGAAATTAAAAGTGGAGGGTGACAATGTAAGTTGGTGATTAAATATATCTATAGTTTTATGTATAAAAATGAGTAATTGTAGATCATTGGGAGAATCCTTGCTTTAAAGATAATGTGAAGCGGGTTTGAATCCTTCCTAGGTACTTTTTAAATACATAAAAATAGTTATTGTGAGTGTACCTTTGGAGAGAGACATACGTTATTGCGGACTTTTCTGTAGGCAATTTAAAACCTACAATTTTCTAATACATTTGATGTATGTATCTCTTCAGGTTTAGCTAGCGAGGCATTAAGACGACTCAACAGCAGTTGTTATTGTGTTTTCTCATGTCAATGAAAGATTTTCCTGTAGTAAAAAGTATCCTAAATGTTGACCCGAGTAATAAGTTATCTAAACACAAAATTTTGTTAAAATCGGTTCAGTATTTTTACGTGAAATGCACATAGATATACAGACAAACAGACAAAAATTTTAACAACTTTTGTTAATCTATATTGTGTACATAATACGATAGTCAATGTTTTTTAAAAATATTTCATGCACAGATTGCACTAAGTAACTGTTTTATTATATGTATGTATGTAGGTTCATTGTTACAGTATGATCTCCTAGTAGTAGATTTAAGTTTTAACTTATTAATGCTCAAATGTAAAGTCCGCCAATCTGCACTTGGCCAGCGTGGTGGACTGTGGCCTGATCCCCCTCGTACTGGACGGAGGCGCGTTCCCAGCAATAGTAGTCATCCCTTTTTAACGTCCCACAGCTGGGCACTGGCCTCCATTCAATGTGAAGAGGATCAGGCCATGGTCCACTCCCAGCTGTGGGGCGTTAAAAAAAAGCCTGAATAAAATGTGAAAATAGTAAAAAAAAACTGTTAACAAAATAAGAAAAATCAAATTTAAATGCATCATCTATCATAAAGAACTAGATACACAAAATCCCATGCAAAAGTTCTCTTAATTAAAACTGTCACAAATTGTGTTTAGGTAATTGTTCTAGTTGAAATAAATATTCATTAAATCTTAAATGCAATGCTTCAAGTTGTTTTCACAAAAAAATTATTAAATTTAAAGCCCACTCAAATGTTCAAATGAGCGCTCATTCGGTGAGGACATTTTTTATCGCTTAATGTGTATCTAGTACTTTTTTGATCATCATTTTAAAAGAGACAGTATTTTTAAAAATCAGTCATGAGGACTGCCGACAGAAGTGAAAACTTTAAACTATAAACAAACAGTTGTTTTTGGATATTAATTGTTTGATCTTAAATTAGCAGTTGTAAATTAAAACTGTTTACATTTATCTGGCTTTGACATCTATCGGCATTCGAGTGTTAGCGTTAACACGTCACGTGACCATGTCGATGACGACTTACATGAATTTACCCCTCATCCAAACCTGCCTACAGAGGTTTTCACTTCAATTAATGCTTGACTTTAATTTTTTCCAGGCTCACCTCAACCAATACGACTCGTACGGTAATTTTGATGATGACTACGATGACTTTATGTAAACCGTTACAACTAACTATACCTGGCTTCTGAAATGGCGTATAAAACATATTTTTATAAAATAAAACATAAATGAACTATTAATCCATGAAGGTATGGAATATTTATTTATAAATATATAGCATTCTTTTTTTTCCCTTATATATAGTCTGTCTTTCTGTCTTAAGCTTAAATTTTGCTATATTTGTTGTAACGATGTCTCGGTAACTTCGAATATTCCATTGATCGATTTAGAATCGATTTTTATAAAACGTACATAATCATATGTACGTTTAATAAGAAAGCATATTTTTTTACATTTTATAGCATTATGTAAGTAGATTATTTTATTTGGTGTATATTTTGTCATTTAATTCAGATGCCAGGTATTATAGTGGTCTGTACACACACTAAATAAATATATTTTACCTTTAAAGTATAAGCAAATCTAGTCCTTATATTTTCTTATATGAACCCAAAAGATTTAAAACATGCTTAATTATTACTAATAATATTTCTCACTTAATCTGTAATTTTAGTTTTTTTTAATTGCCTTAGAATTTTGCTTATTGAACCAAGTAAAATTTGTATTAGAAGTTGCATCTGTAATTTTTTACGTGTTGCCATTTGCAAATACGTTTTTATGGATATTTTTTTAATTTTGAACGTGTACAGACCAGTAATAGCAGCCATGTATCCTATATTATACTTTTGTAATATACTGTCGTTTGATTCAACGGTTATGGTCCGATGTTACGTTATATAGATAATAAATTTTTTATTGTGATAATATTTTGTTGTTTTTTTTTCTATATTATGTATATTTAAAAAAAATTTTTCGAGTACATCTCTTTCTCTTAGCATTAATCTTAGTATTATTGGAAATAATAAATTACTTTTAAGATTAACTTTTTCATTTTCTTATTCATTAATGTTATGAAGAATATAATAATTAAATTAGATTTTTTTTAATGATGTTATTATATTAATAATTAAAAGTTTGTATCACATTTGTCGATAAGACTTTTGTGGCTTAAATAAAAGGTACTAAAATGCACAGAACAAAAAAAACATGGGGTTTCATCACGTACAAAGAAAAAATATTCCAAATGAAGGAAAACAAAGCAATGTGCTCGTAAATGAAATTTGCGTAATTTTTTAATAATTGAGAAATCCGTAAATAACGAGTTTTTAGTGTATCTCCACAGATGGCGCTGTTACTTTTTATGAATTGTTTATCACTTAAACTATTAAAAACATTAACATTTCTTTAACACCTCCAGATTTTCTAAGAAATTAATTAAATTTCTAAGAAATCTATTGTTAACTGTAACGTCGGCGTGTCCGCGGTCGTTGAGGGAATAATTAAATGCTTACACATATTTATGAAATAACTAGCATTGCCCGCGGTTTCGCCCGCGTTCAGATGACCAAAAACCAAATTCTTAGGTTTTACATATTATACTCTTACTTTACAGTTTTTGTATTTTTCTCAGAAATGAGATATTTTTCCGCTGTAAAAAGTATCCTATATGTTGACCCGGATAATCAGCTATGACCATACCAAATTTCATCAAAATTCGTCCAGTAGTTTTTCTGTGATGCGAACAGACAGACGGACAAAAATTCTAAAAGCTATAGATTCGGCCTCTGTATCAATAATAATGTCTATTTCAATAAGATTTTCCAAAAAATATTTAATGTACAGATTTGACTCAGAATGTTATTATATGTATAGATATATTTTGAATGCTTACGGACCAACGACATCTATTATCTATTCAAGTGAACTAAAATAGACGGAATTAGCGCTGTCCAATCTCTTTGTATGGGATGAGGCATCTGTACTAATAGTATCTTGTCAATAAGCCGAATTAAAAAATGTCGTAATTTCTATCAACATCCTTTGACGTGAAAATGTAAACTTACCACGTGTTTTGCTTTATCTATATAGTTTCCGATATATTTTTTTAGTTTTGCATGGCCATGGCGTCTAATAGCGGTCGGATGAAAAAAATATGTTGATATAAATAGGTATCATTCTATCCTCTTCCTTTGTGTAAGCAATATTATAAATTGTTACTAGTATAAAAAAATAGAATAAAATATTTAGTTATCACTATTATTTAGTCAAATGAAATACTTATTTCCTGCCAACTTGTAGAGATGGCAGCACCAAAAACTATTTAGTATGAATTATGATTCTTCAAATAAAGAACATATGTATACCCTTTAATTTTAAATATGTGGAAGTGGAAAAATGTAAGGTATAAAAAGAGGTATTTTGTAAACGGAGAGTGAGTATATTGTAACTGGTTTCTTCTATTGGCTTTTGGTTAGAGGAAAATTGCTTTTTGGATGTCCTTTTTTCAATCTATTATATTCTGAGAATCTATTATACTCGTATTTGGACGGCTATCATACTACCTTATTTCTTTGGACGGCCTTTGGACTTCTGTTACCATTATCACTATTACTTATGTAAGTCGATTATAACTCGATTCTCGAAGAACATGATTAAATCGTTTCAAATCAAAACTAATGCTGGTGACCATGAAAACATAAGCATTCATTATATCAATTATCATCTTTCAGCAACCTTCATATTAATGTAACACTGTTTACTTAAGTTTTAATTCAATCATTGAAATTACTCCTACATAAAAATTTAAAATGTTTACGCACATTTGACCAAAATTTCATACTGCACTTAACATAAAAACTTTAAATGTCCTCCTGACTGATTTCGGACTCGGCGGCCAATCTCAGTGGGACTAGCCAGATGCGCAGGAGATATTATAGTACACAAGTGTACTCTCTATTCCTTTTACTGTCAAACTCCAATAATTCGACACGACCGGTGAGAGTTAAGGCGCAGGACCACAGCTTTACGTGCTCTCCGAGGCACGGGGGTGAAACACCGCCAACTTCCCAATTCCGGGTTGTTACTGAGAATATCTTAATAGAAACACTCAGTAATTAAAATTAGGCTGACCCGGGACTCGAGCCCAGAATCTCCGGACTTGCAGCCGTACATGCTAGCCATTAGACCACCGAGGCATTTATAGAAACTTTAGTACGAAAAAGTAATAAATCTTTTATAGTCAAATATACGTTACGTCGGTGTTAAACAGAAATAACCTAACCTAAATTAGGTTTATTATGAAATTTTTACTACGCGATGATGTCATATACTTCCCAATTTGTCGATAAGTAGTGGATGGATGGCAGATGCAGCTTTTTGCGTAATGCTGGACCCACACTTTGTTTAAAAGTTTTGAATAATTGTGTAATTGAACACTAAACATTGATAGGTAGAACCATAATTTGCTGCTTTTGTAATAGCTAGCTATCTTCAAGATATCAGCCATATGGGTTTTGTATCAAATAAGAAGAAAGTACGTTCTTTGGTGAACGGGTGGTTCTATATCCAACGCTGGATTTACACTAGGGGCACTCGGGGCTAGTGCCCAGGGCGGCAAATTTTCAGAGGAGGCAAAATTTCAAGGATTAATAAAAAAAAATCCTCACATTATCGAAAATGTTTTTTTTATTTTCCAAAAAATAATAATTAAGAAAATATATATTTTTTGCATTTATCAAAAACAAAAAAAATGGAACTTATCAATTTTATGCAAATTTTCGATAATGGGGCGGGCATTTCTTACATTGCCCAGGGGCGGCGCTAAGTTAAATCCGCCACTGTGGTGTATATCAGTCTACATAGCACATACTTCTATATTGAAAATCATCGAAATAATATAGTAACGGTAACGAGCGTTAGGTATTAATCTAGTGTGGTCCTAGCATAAGAATTACATCATTTAATCATGTGGGAGGCGATTTTTATCATTTGTAATGAAATATTTTTTTCTGACTTAGTTTCTAAATTATAAAGCATAATGTAATTCAGTATAATACTAATATTACTGATCACTTGTTACTATATCTTGTCTATTATTGTTGACATCTACATAAATTATGTTCAACTAGCTTGCTTCCCAATACAAACTTTCATCCCCTTAAGGGATGATTTCCGGGATAAAAACTATTTCACTCACTCACTTTTCATATCATTTAAGAAAAACCAGATTTAAAAAAAAATTATTTAATTTTCTTCTATACAAAACTTGCCCTGACAATAACAAACAAAAAAAATTATCCAATTTGGTGCAGTCGATCGAAAGTTATGCGTGTGCATAGGTACATTTCGGTGATTCATTTTTATTTATATAGATTATGTTTCGCACGCTTAAAAGCCATATTATTGACTGTACAGGTATAGGTACATACCACCATAACAGGTTTAAAGTTGGTAGATCAAATATTTCTTGAGAAAATATATTTGAAAAATGCCTTGGATGTAACACTAAAATTGGTCTTTACAAATTTGGTGACTCACAAAAGATTTTAATAAAAATTAAATAAATTCATTTTACCGTAGTTGTGAAAAGCTCTCGTAAGCTCGTAAGCTCATCCAAATATTTCAATGATACCAACAAATAATAGATATATTTTTTTAAATATTTGAAGATCCATACTAAATATCATTATAAAAGCTAAATACAAAAATTATGTCGCCTCTTCGCATAATAAATAATAGAAATCTTGGAGCTTATTTATTCAATGCTTGTACGAGAAGGGAAAATACCTACTATGTATAAAATAAGGATGTATGTAAATAACTATAGTGACCAATACGTATTAATAATGTGGAAATATCTAATGTATGTTGGTCTATTTTCATATTTATTATCTATTTACTAGCGACTCAATCACGCTTCGCTCGAATTCGTCCCTAGCTACGTTTTAACAATTAGTACCTATAGAATTAACAATATATATGTAATGAAGTAAGACAAAAGACTTGAGAAATGATTCCCCGACACAAAATCCCCCCCCCCTCCTCTCCCCTCCTTTATCTCCCCTTAAGGGATGATTTCCGGGATAAAAACTATCCTATATCCTTACCAGAGCCTCTATCTCTACATTAAATTTCGTCAAAATAATCGTCGGTGTG